CACGAACTGCGCTGTTTCAGATCTGATATGCACAGTTACACACTCTGGTTTATGTACTCTTGCCGTGATGGGTAGAGCGCAGTGCACAAGAGGCACACAATGATCACAATGATCACTGTCTACACAAATCTAGTCACATGACAAGGGAGATCTAGTCACATGACAAGGGAAATCTAGTCAAATGACAAGGGAAATCTAGTCACATGACAAGGGAGATCTGGTCAAATGACAAGGGAAATCTACTTTTGAAGTAGTCAAATGACAAGGGAAATCTAGTCACATGACAAGGGAGATCTGGTCAAATGACAAGGGAAATCTAGTCACATGACAAGGGAGATCTGGTCAAATGACATAATAATATACTCTAGTATAAATATGAAACTACTTGAGTATCAGATTGGTTCTTTTGTTGGCTCTGGAAAACTGGTTTACCGAAATGTTCGGCCTACCGAACCGTTGATTTTGGGAAATACCGAAACCGCTATTACACCACCGAAAATTCCCGGTTTTGCGGTGATAAACTATAAACCCATTGCCCATTGCCAAATATGGGTTGCATGAGTAATGCATGATATTGTACGCCGGGATCAGGTATACACTGTTCAACACGCCATGGCGCCACACGACCATGCCCAAGTGGCTGTGTGGGGTGTTATGTGAGTACACTGGGATCAGGGATGCACTGTTCAACACGCCATGGCGCCACACGACCATGCCCAAGTGGCTGTGTGGGGTGTTATGTGAGTACACTGGGATCAGGGATGCACTGTTCAACACGCCATGGCGCCACACGACCATGCCCAAGTGGCTGGGTGGGGTGTTATGTGAGTACGCTGGGATCAGGGATGCACTGTTCAACACGCCATGGCGCCACGCGACCATGCCCAAGTGGCTGTGTGGGGTGTTATGTGAGTACGCTGGGATCAGGGATGCACTGTTCAACACGCCACACGACCATGCCCAAGTGGCTGCGTGGGGTGTTCGAGGTACAAATTACATGCGCTTATTCATAGATCACTCTCTCTGCATATACCCTAGTCATGTGTATCACAATGTCGAATGCTTCAGTGGCTGACATCCTCTGTGTGTGTGTGTGTGTGTGTGTGTGTGTGTGTTCATCTGTTTTGCTTGTCTGTGTGTGTGTGTGTGTGTGTGTGTATTTGTGTCTCTCTGTCTGTCTGTCTGTCTGGCTGTATGTGTACGTCTGTTCACCTCTCAATCACCGATAGGCGAACTTCCCTCCGGCTTGTTTGATCTTCCGGCGCTGGTCGAACTGGACGTCAACAACAACCAGCTGACGGGTACACTACCGAGCCGAGTCACAGCCAAGTCACTGCAGGTTAGCCACGTGATCGGTGCAGTAAAGGGGGGGGGGGGGGGGGCGTTTTGATCTACAGATTTGGGTAGAAAGTTACTTCTTTCGGTAGATGCGTTCCTCAGTTTTTTTTTCTACTCAAAAGAGTAGATTTTATCTTTTCTCTACCGGCTCTGCCAGGTTTGAAGCTGGTAGAGGTCGGTAGAAGTTGGTAGAGGTATGGGATTTCCAGCAAGATCAAGGAGCTGTACAACTCTATAGAGAAGAGAAACATTTCACGTACATGTGCGTATCGTGAAAAACTACCAAGTCCAGTAGGACTGTTTTTGTGCACTTACCGTAATGTCGCGTGCATAAGCCGGATTTGTGCATAAGCCTGTCTCGTGTAGAAGCATGAAATCTGCAACAGCTTTTCGCGTACAAGCCTGTCGCATGCATAAGCCGGGCCAGTACACGAGACGCGCCACGTGTCGCGTGCGTAAGCCGGGCTACTACGCAAGACTGGTGAGCGCGCCTTTTACATGTTCATGTTTGCATGGTACCGTACACTTGTACACGCGGAAAACGTGGGAAGATGCGGAAATCAACACCAGCTGCGCTCGACGGCCATGCAGCACTCTTCAAGCTTCAAACTTACCTTTCCCATGGCATTTTCCGTCTTGTCCCTTGGCAAGTTGCTTGTTTGAAGTTGTTTCGGCGCTCCTCGAACTTTTCACTTGTGTTTGTTGCAGTCTAATCCCGTTGGAAAATGTTGGTTTTGACGTCCAAAAGTCAGCAGTTTGCGCATACAAGCCTGGTCATTGAGTGGTGCTTGTCATATAAGCCTGTCTCGTGTATAAGCCTGTCTTGTGTACAAGCCTGACTCCATCACCGGCTTATAGGCATATAAGCCCCGGCTAATGCACGCGACATTACGGTACCTCCACCTTCTACCGCTATCGGTAGAGTGACTACTCTACTCTACCAGGTGGCTAAAAACGAACGCACCCTGAAACTCACTAAACTCTCAATCTCTGGATAGCTAACTGTTTCGGTCTCGTTAGATCTCGTCACTGGAGCTCAGAGTTTCTGGCTGAACTGATCGCAATGAGGTCTTAGGCACAACAAAGATTGTTTAACTTAAATGACTACACCATAGCTTAGTGGTAGAGCATCGCTGGCCTCAAGCGATGGTCCCTGGTTAGAGTCCTGGTGGTGACAGTCAATTTTTTCTTCAGACTTTTCCCGTTTGCGTCCTTCCCTCAAACCAGTGATTTTTTTTAAATTGATTCAACTGATTGACTCTGTTCCTCTGCTTGTGTGTGCTTGGCCTAGCATCTAGTGTTGTACACGAATAAGTTCCGCGGCCCGCTGCCCACCGAGTGGCATGCACCGAACATGCAGACGGTTGAGCTATCCAGTAACTCGTTTACGGGCCCGGCGCCGGACGGCTTTGGCCTGATGCCCTCGTTGAAGGTGAGCGGAAGGCCAGGCAAAGCCTGCTTTGAGCAGGGCCATCCTGCTTTGGACCAGAACATGTGTATGCATTTACTTGGGAGACAATTGCCTTTGTTTAAATTTACATGGGAGACAACTTCCTATAATTACATGAGAGACAATTGCGTCTGTTTGCATTTGCATGGGAGACAATTGCCTTTGTATAACAGTTACATTTGCATGGGAGACACTTGTCTATATATTAGACATTTTATAGGGGTATTCGCTGCTTTGGAATGGCAGCAAGGCTGGACAGCCTGGGAAGGTGGCTGACCTAGCTGTTGTTTGTAAGAATGTTCTTGTATGGAGGACGGGCGTGCCGGTGAGCATCCTGCCACCCAGGCCGGTAGCCACTCTGGCAGCATGCATAAGCACACTATCAGTAGGAGGTGCATTCTGTAAAAAAATTAATAAAAAACACCGTATTTAAATGTCGCGTATTAAAGCCGGGCGTATTCCTGTAGAAGCCGATGTCAGGGCCAGGCTTCTATTCAAACCACGTATTTCTATTCAAACCAGGTATTTCTTTGTGTGTCAACACTAAAACCAGGCTGATATGCCGACAGTGTATCTTGAAAATCAGGCTTGTATTCAAAACAGGCTTCTATATGAGACAGGATTTAATACTTTTGCAGTACAAGACAGTACATGTGTGCACACGCTAGACTGTCAATTATGGAGTTGAGATGAAGGGTGGGAGGCAACCATGGCAGAACAGAATGCTGTGGAATTCGTACGTTCTCTGTCTCTTTCTCTGTCTCTCTCCTATCTCTCTCTCTGTCTCTCTCTCTCTGTCTCTCTCTCTCTGTCTCTCTCTCTCTCTCTTTCTCTCTCTCTCTCTCTCTCTCTCTCTCTCTCTCTCTCTCTCTCTCTCTCTCTCTCTCTCTCTCTCTCTCTCTCTCTCTCTCTCCCTCCCCCTCCCCCTCCCCCCTCCCCTCCAACATGTTATATGCTTCTGTCCTCGCAGGAACTGGTGGTGTCGCGAAACAACCTTTCTGGGCCATTCCCCGCGTCCTGGGGCTCCCTGCACAACCTGACCCAGCTGTGGACATTCGACAACACGCTGAAAGGCCCGCTGGATAGCAGCTGGGCGAAGATGCGCTCTCTGCAGAACGTGGAGATGGACGGCGTGACGGGAGAGATGCCTAGCTGGATCGGCGACTGGAACAAGCTGACGTTGTTCATCCTTGCCCGCGGAGCCATATGTAAGACAGTGGATAGTCTACTTGTCTATTTGTCTCTTACTTTACTGCGGTGGACCTTGAAATCCGTTGAGAAGTCAAGCAGCCATGGGGCGCTGACCCTGTAGCTATGAGCACTGGTGGTCCACTTTTATAATGTTACAATGCGTGAACGTGCTAAGCAAGTAAGGGCGGCGGCCCTGGTCATTCTATGTCCACAACAGTAGGTTAGTGCATGGCGGGGTAGTAGTATCTATAAAGCCGGTTCTGGGCCAGGTACAGGCCCTGCCCGAAAATGGGGTATTATTGATAGTACCCCATTTTTGCAGATTTTAGACCGACCTTTTTTACTGAAAAATGGTTGTGAGGGTGTTAGAGGGTAAGACACCCCACAATAATGGGGTGTTATCAATAATACCCCATTTTCGGGCAGGGCATGTACCTGGCCCAGAACCGGCTTTATAGATACTATTCGGGGAGGGTCTTATGGTTTGCTTGTTGTGTCCGCCGTGGCCACTATCCACTGCAGCTGGCGTGCTACCCGACGGTATCTGCAAGCTGAAGCGAGTGCAGACCCTGTGGCTCTTCCTGAACTCGATGAGCGGCCAGCTGCCATCATGCCTGGGAGACCTGAACAGTGAGTCGTCGCTGCGGTGCAGGCTGCTGACTGCTCTCTCTCTCTCTCTCTCTCTTTCTCTCTCTCTCTCTCTCTATCTCTCTCTCTCTTTCTCTCTCTCTCTCTCTCTCTCTCTCTCTCTCTCTCCTCTCTCTCTCTCTCTCTCTCTCTCTCTCTCTCTCTCTCTCTCTCTCTCTCTCTCTCTCTCTCTCTCTCTTTCTCTCTCTCTCTCTCTCTCTCTCTCTCTCTCTCACTCTCTCACTCTCTCTCTCACTCACTCTCTCTCTCTCTCTCTCTCTCTCTCTCTCTCTCTCTCTCTCTCTCTCTATCTATCTATCTATCTACAGTCAACTTCGCTAATAACGACTGCGGATATAACGACAATTCGCGAATAACGACAGAATTTCCATGCCCAGAGCAAAGTCCCATCCAACTGAAATACATACAATGAGACTTCGGGTATAACGACACTTCGCGAATAAGGACACTTTTCTGATGCCCCGCCGAGTGTCGTTATAAGCGAAGTTGACAGTATCTGTATTTATTGGAACACACTTTTTTTCTTCTTTTTTTCTATCTTTTTTACTATTGAACACTCACTGCATGATGAACTAAAATGATGAGAAGAACTCGACACAATGATACATATCCAGCAGGACGGAGTGGGTGGGACCTGTGAAGCTCAGCCGACCAAGGGTCTCGGCATCACAGCTGCACATGTGCACCAAAGGAAACGAAATGGGGAGTGGAAGGGCGGGGAGCAGGAGAGCAAGACCTCTAAGGGTAGGAAAGAGAGGAGGGAGGGGAGGAAACCAGGAAACTTGTTCTTCCAAGATATCAGTGCAAACAAGTACGCAAACAAGTACACAGATAGCAGTATCAAGATCATGATGCTGAGGCGAAAGTAGAGGCTGATTGCCGTGCAGTTTGGACGAAAGATTAGAGTGAGAATGGAGGAGAGTTAGAGAGAGATAAAGACAGATGGATTGGGAGTTTGATGAGAAGGGAGTGCTCCGAGAACACGAACAGGGTCGTACTGGCAGTAGCCTAGGGGGCGATGTCTGTGGCCAATGACCAACCCGACCGTTTCAGGTAGTGGTAGGTCAGAACTTTGAACTGCTGCATCCCTTTGGCAGATGGTGCATCACGGAGGAGAGTGGCTGGCAGTTCATTCCAGGCTTCGATGAGGCACTCCGGGAAAGAGCGCAGCGCAACATTGCATGATCTGGCAGGTAGGGCTGTCTGGAGTTGAAGCTCGTGCGCAAGGTGGCTGCCGAGCGGCGACGTGTGGCAGGCGCGATGGCGGGTGCGATGGCTCTGGCTGGGCGTGTCGCTGCAAGAGCTGGTGGGCTTGTGATGTAATGGAGCTTGTACAGAGTTGTGAGGCCGGCCACACGGCGCCACAGGGACAGAGTGTCCATTGCAGCCCCTGTCCCAATCAGGGTGAGGGCACCTCCATTAGAGGCCGATTGAACCCCCGGTATGCTGTGGCCCGGCCCGGTGGGTCCAGGACATGGCACGCCTTCCGGAAGAAACCAATTCGCTGTGTGGCACGCACTGCAGTTCCTCGAAGATGCTCCGAGTATGATAGATGGGCATCAAACGTCACTCCAAGGAGCTTCAGCCTCGAGCATTCCGGGACCGCTGTGCCGTTGAACTGGATGGGTGGTGTCTCCCAGGGTCTGCGGTGGCAGGGCACAGTCATGGCCTGTGATTTCGTTGGCTCGAAAGTGACGCTCCACTGAGCACCCCATTCAGCAAGTGCATCCACACCAGCTTGGAGGTTGCGGCACACTTCTGTCACAGCATATGGCGTTGGGATGTGGGCATAAAGCGTGGTGTCATCTGCGTAAACAGCCGGAGTGATCCCTTCCGGTAGGACGTCGCAGGCGTCATTCACGTACAGCAAAAACAGTGTAGGCCCAAGGATGCTCCCTTGTGGGACCCCAGCATCAATCTTGTATGGTTCTGAAGATGCTCCGCCGACTACTGCCTGCAACTTCCTGTCGTACAGGTAGTCAGACAGCCAGTTGAGGAGGGGACCAGTGATGCCGTATGAAGCAGCCTTGTGGAGCACGCCTCGGTGTGAAACTTTGTCGAATGCTCCTGCTATGTCTACAGCCAGCACGCGGACTGCGCCACCACGGTTGGCTTCGGAGGCCCAGGAGTGGTTGAGAGACGTGAAAAGGTCGGATGTGCTGAGCCCCTGCCGGAATGCTGCTTACTGATGAGTATCCTACAGTGGTAGGGAAAATGTTTGCTCCCCACACCAGAGCTTGCGCTTTCCACCGACTTGACTTGACACTTGACTGACTCGCGACTGCCTTCCAGAGCACAAGAGAAGTCCATCAAACCTTCCACTCTGCTTTCTTGCAGGTTTGCAGAGTGGAAGGTTCGATGGACTTCTCTTGTGCTCTGGAAGGCAGTCGCGAGTCAGTCAAGTGTCAAGTCAAGTCGGCGGAGAGCGCAAGCCCTGGTGTGGGGAGCAAACATTTTCCCTATGTAATTATCGCCGAAGTCGCTACCATTATCTCGTATTATTCTACAGCGGTGACCAAAGATACAGAATTGCCACCGGTTGTAAAACTAACTGTGTGAAGGAGCCACGGGTGTGTATGTTTGTATGTGTGTCGGATCCCCGGTAGCCAAATCGGCAGGGCACTGTCCCGGAAAGACATGGGTGCCCGTGCTGTGTTCGAATCCCGGGGATGCCCCCCCCCCCACACCCCGCCATGCCCACCTCGATCTGAAATACCTTCCGACGCCACTAAGTACCTGACACGATGTGTGTGCGTGTGTGTGTTTGTGTATGTATGTGTGTGTGTGTGTATGTGTGTGTGTGTGTGTGTGTGTGTGTGTGTGTGCGTGCGCGTGCGTGCGTGTGCGTGTACTCACACCACGTGTAGGTGTGCAGCAGTTGGAGTTGTCGGACAACCACTTCAGCGGCGCAATACCGCAGTCTGTTGGACAGCTTGGCCAGCTGCAGTACCTTTACCTCTCCAGGAACTCTCTCTCCGGCGAACTGCCGTCCAGCCTTGGCGATCTGAAGAACTTGCAGGTAGGAGATCGGAGTGTGGTTGGTAACTTGCACTTGAATAAGCAGATATCTTCCTCCCAATATGTTTGGTAATATGGATTTGCAATCGCATGCACATACTGTTGGCACCCCCCCCCCCCCCCCTCCCAATATGATACATGCTGTGGCACACATACACATTGTGACATGCTCAATCTCCGCACAGCTAGCTGTTTCAGCGTTCTTAGGTTTCGTCCTCGGAGCGCAGGGTTCTGATTGGAGTCAAGTCTCTAGTGAACAAGAAAGCATGGCCGCCCTCCAGCATGGTCATGTGATAGATGCATGAGTATCAGGGAGTCGTAAAATACTGTATTTACGACTCCCTGATGAGTAGACAAGTATTGAGATCAGATCGGTTGTCGCACACCGACGTCTGTCCCTGTGCACCAATCTTCCCGTATGCACTATATAGATCATGGACTTGAGCAGTAACGAGATCGTCGGTGCCATACCGGAGTCATTCAACAAGCTAGCAGGTATCATGGTCAACTGGGCGCTGTGCTACAACAAGCTGAGCGGCCCGCTCACCGAGACTCTGCAACCACTGTTCAAGGTGAGGCACCGCACTCTGTGTACGGCTGTGTTTGCTGGTGTCTGTGTTTGTGTTGGTATGCGTGTCCCATATGGTGCAGTGGTATGTGCAGTCGATTTCCAATCGAGAGGTTGCAGGTTCAACAATTCCCGATGATTATGGTCGCACACGTCTTTCTTCTCTTTCTCATTCTCCTATAGCTCTTCTTTCATTCTCCTGGGCGGTTACCAACGGCCAGTGTATGCCGGAGGATGTGGTGTGGTGTGTGTGTGTAAAAAAAAATGAAAAATGAAAAATAGGGATTCACTGGCCAGAAAAAAGGGGCATGGGGTGATAATTATGTGCAGTGTTCTCTGCCAAGGTGTTCAAGGCAGGGAGTCGTAAAATGACATTTTACGACTCCCTGGTTCAAGCCGATAGCAGGGAGTTTGGCTAATACTCCTTCTGTTCCGTGTGTTGTGTGTGGGTGGGTGTTTGTGTGGGTACGCATGTGTGTGTGTGTTTGTGTGGGTACGCATGTGTGTGCATGACCGTGCATGTCTGTCTCCCGTATGCGTCGTGCATTCTACACTGCTTCTTCGCAGGCAATCAGCCAGTTCACGTGCGCGCTCTACAACAACCCATGGCAGTGCCCCATCGAGACCGTTGTTCCCAAGGAATGCGACTGCGTCTGCGACACCTGCAACAGCGCCGCCAACCGCCAGAGCTGCAGCAAGTGCGTCGCCAGCGGCGACGGATGCGGCTTCTGTCAGGACGGCGAGTCGTGTCTCCATGGTGACCAGCGAGGCCCGCAGGACTACACCTGCTCAAAGTGGGACTTTGGCACGACGACCAATTGCACTGTCGAAGTGTAGGGGATCGTAACCTCGAGTAGTAAAATACCGGTATTTTACTACTCCCTGCCTTCTACCCTTTGCTCCGTATTTCCAGTATAAATACAATTCAACATGTCCTCACCACATTAACTCTGAATTCCCCGCAATTATCCACTATTCGGACACTTCCCACCCGTCGAATTATTCAAAGTTTCAAACGCAATGTGCTCCTTTGAAGTAGTTGCGAAACACACTACATCTGGTCCTGCCTGTTGTTGATCTCTTTCTATTTGCTATTTGGGACATTTCGGTGTGCAACCACCAACGGCTTCTTGAGTGTCGCACCTACACATGATCCAGTAGGAAGTGTTAAGAACGTCTATCTATCTCTTAATCCATTAATTTTAGGAAACTTCACTTCTCGACTCCAAACCCGTACCGGTCTCTTCACTGCGATTAAAATTATAATTTACATTTAAATACAGCAAATTTTCGTGCCTGGCCCATCATCAGGTTCATTACCCTTCATTACATGAGCCCGAGCGCGCTAAAACATGACCACAGCTTTTTTTGAAAAAGTCGAGATAATCGCGATTTGAATTCCGCGGCAAAAAATACGAGGTGCAGTGCAACGCGAGTCGCTGTTGTTGTTCTCCTCGGTCGACTGGACTGTTCCGGATGCAATTCTTTGTTGCAAGTAAGTTTATTTGTTTGAGTTTGTATTCCATGTTGCGCTGAGTCGCCTAAAACTGATCGTCATCGATGTATCGACAGAAGAGCCTAGTAGTAGTAATGTACTGCGGAGCGGAAGAAGACGACATCATCGCACTCCATGCGCAGGATAAAATATTTTGAGGACTCGGGTCGGAAACAGAAGGAAGACGATGATGGCTACAGCGACGAGTCATTTGAGGGCGACAGTTTCATCGAGCGTAAAAAGAATTGATGCTGGAAGTCCCACGATCTGCAGTGACGAGGAATTCTACTCTGATGACAACCTGGCAAGCGATTGGCATCGACACTGACTTGGGAGGTGAGTCGGCCGATGATTTGGCCAGAATGGACACCGCTGCACATATCCGGGACAATGCCAGTATTGGTTGCAAGAGCAAAAACAATCAATGGACTCTGCTGCTCCCTCAACTTGCTCAAGTCGATAATTTGAGTACCCTTATGCGGAACACCGCTAGCATGAGTAGTATGCAGCGAAAGCAGTACTCTCTGACGAGCGGAGAAAACCGTGTGCAGATGGGCTTTGGTGTGGGGAATATGAGTGCGACGTCTAGTATTTTGAGGAACTGGAAGACTGTGTGCAGCAGTGTATACTGTATATCTGAAAGTACAGGTGGAGTGTGATGGAGAGGACATGGAGTGCCAACTTCTTCGGACATCTACAGATGTTGACCGTGTTTTCGATGGCGGTTCTCCAGTGGTGCTCCAAACAGGAGGTATTTCGGACACCCAGCTCAGCTGCCTATAGACAATTTGGATGTGGCTGAGTACCTGTCAGCTCATGCTATAAGACCCTGGACGGAGGAATTGACCCGGAAAGGATGAACAAAGGGGCATATCAATTGTGTGCAAATATGACAATCCCATTGCAGTACATATAATTTCGCCATTTCAACAGTGCTGCATATAATACCATTGTAGCAACACTTAGACATGTCCGATCAATCCAAAACTTTCAGACAGTGAACATCAGGTGTGTTAGATCATTTTTAAACAAAAAACTGAAAATCGAATTTTTGGTCTGTGGTCATATTTTAGCGTGCTCTGGCTCACATCATTACCCTTCATTACCCTGATGGGCCGGGTGCGAAAATTTGCTGTATTTAAATGTAAATCTTAATTTTAATTTTAATCGCAGTGAAGAGACCGTTTTTGGAGTTGAGAAGTGAAGTTTCCTAAACATGTAAGTGGCTGCGTTGGAGTTTGCTGACGAAAAGGAGAAAAGTTTATCTCTTAATCCGGCACACCTAATCCCAGGATTAACTTTTGTTCGTTAGAATTCAAACTTGTTATGTGTGAACAAATTGACTTGCCAGCATGACATGCACATAGTTACAGTGTATGAAAAGCATGGACATCTTCCGTCCAGGAATAGCAGCAAGAAGCTACATTCCGCGTTACTTGGAGAACATCTCATGCACACTCTGGGGGGTGGGGTATGTACTCTTTGTGTAACCCAATAGAAACACATACCCTATGCCCAGCCATTCATACATCTTCAGGTTGGTCAATGTAGCCACCCACCGCGCACTTTAACCTACACTTTCGTTATCTGGGCCCAGAACAAGAGCAGCTACAATGTACATGTATGCTGTACCAACTTTCTATTCATGAACAAGGAGAAAAGTCTCATTGGGCGGACCAAATACACATCAGTTACTGTATAGCAGGAAATTTTCGGACGGAATTTATTTTCGTACGATTTCGTACACGTTCTCTTTTGTACTAAAATAAATTCCGTACTAAAATTTGTTCCTGTGAAGTTATGTACACTATACATGCGTGCCGCATGCAAACACGTGCATTTAGCATGCCCCACTGTACGAAAATAAAATCCGTACGAAAGGTCAAAATTTGGCTTTGTCCGAAAATATTTCCGTCCGAAAGTTTCCTGCTATACAGTATGTCCAATTTCAATCCTGGTGTCCCAAAGAATGCCAGAGCTGAGGGGAGAGGGCATAACAGATCCTCTTCCTCAATGCTCCATTTTGAAATTGAGCAATATGAATATTGTCTTCTCTGTGGTTCTTCTCCTAGAAGCTAGAGAATAATATTATTATTATTATAAGAACGCACCCTTATTCTCTTGATCATCCATGGTCACAGAAAGTCCAGAAAACAATAACGATAATTATACCAAATCCCACATGTAGGATCACAATTTTGAGAAAACCTCACTTCCAAACTTGGACCGAAAATTCACCACGTGGCATTTCTAAAATGTCACAAGACATGGGCAGACATGCCACTATCCACAGGAACCCCACGAGATTGGAAAGAAGAGAAAAAATATTCACGAAAATCACATAATAATTATAATGTTCGTGACAAAGTTATTTAAAGAGCAGCCAGATTACTGAGAAATAAGAACCTCCAGGGAAATAACGTTCTTGGGCGCCCGTGACTATTGAAACTTCGCTTCCAGGTGAGATGGAGGAGTGACGTTGCCGGTAGTAACCGAGGCGGATGCTGCGCCAAACCAGCGTCGGGGCACATGCTTACTGTAGTCCCGACTGACGCCGGTCTGACTCACAGCTGCCCGTCCGGAACACACGAGAAGCACGAGTCGAGCTTATCCTTGACAATCCTTTAAGAAAAGCACATCCAGCGAGCAGCGTGCCTATCCGGGGCAGACCACACCAGGGTCGGAGACGCGAGTACGTTTGTGACGGTATGAACTCGGTGGAGATTAATCACGGCGGAATAAATCCAGCTTCATCATAAGCAGGACAGTGAACGAAACCCTAAAAAAATCACAGCGTCTGGCCATGTCCGACCGTTTCCGAACGTGGCAGGAATATCGTGCCAGAGCAATGTAAACGTCTTATCGTGTTCCCTGCCTATACGGATCGGGAACGCCAGAGACAATTGCAGTGCATGGACCTTGAACACAGTGCACGCGGACATGCAAACGATACGGACACCAGTGACACAATGACGGAGCTGCTTGTACGCACTGCCAACTCTGGCCTGCGGACGGACCACTGCTTGGGAATTTTGAATTCTCTTTGCTTGGCAAAGACACCACGTCTACATTTTAAGTGCGTTGTGTGCACCTGCTAGCATACCGGATGGACGGCTGATGGCAGTGGGATCGCGGTGCAAGCCTCGCTGGTTATAGCATCTTGCGCTGGGCGTGTGGATCAGACGCATGACGGACATATCAATGGATTTAGTTTGCAAGCAGTCCTAGTCTTGAGCTGGGCGTGTGGGTCGCGGGGCATGACGGAAATATCCATGGACTAACAAAGTCACTTTGTCCACAAGCAGTCCGCCTGTCGATGGAGAGAGAGAGAGAGAGAGTTGGCAAGCAATCATAACTTAGTCTTGAGCTGGAGAGAGGTAGCGGCGAGCAATACGCCGCCAGCACATCAATTCTCTCCCGATGAGAGCGAGCTCACAACACAGGAGCATAGTCAGGCACGTGTCATCAGGTGTGTGTGGTTGTTGCTTGGCATGGCAGGCACGGCGGTACGTCTTGATGCCACTCGATATAACAGTGACAACACACTAGCAATGATGATGATGTGAAATCGCACCTTTTAATAGATGATGTAGCCAACAGTAGGACATAGCTGGCGGGATGCTTGTACCCATAATGGTGTTCCAGCTCCAAAGGTGATGTCACCATTACAGTCTTCACACGGACGAGTAGGGCATCGATGTGTGTGTGTGTGTGTGTCCGTCCGTCTGTCCATTCGTAATGGTGTTCCTGTGCCGGCAGTGAGCGATGAACAGAGCAGCCTGCGCAGTGGCTTAGTGATCATGCTGGTTCAGCCTGTGGCTGCGCTGGTTGATGATAGGACCTTGGGTGTCCTAGAACTCTCAGTCTGGAAATGCTGCAGGACACCGGGTGAGAGAGAGAAAGAGAGCGTGTGTGTGTCTCTCTCTCTCTCTCTCTCTCTCTCTCTCTCTCTCTCTCTCTCTCTCTCTCTCTCACTCACTCTCTCACTCACAGAGAGAGAGAGAGAGAGAGAGAGAGAGAGAGAGAGAGAGAGAGAGAGAGAGAGAGAGAGAGAGAGAGAGAGAGAGAGAAGGACTGATCATTTCCATTGTTTGCTCATTCAACAATGAGTCTACTTGAAGCCACTGGTGTACTTGAAGTAGAATCAAGCCAACAACACACGTATCACATTCCATCTGCGAACATACCTGTTGTAGGTGCTGCTGCTCGTTTCGCTGCTGCCCTCGACTTCTTTTTGGATGCCGGAGGCTTTTTGTCCCAGGTGTCGATAAGGCGCTTTCTCCAGCGTACCAGCGCACCCCATTGCAGCAGCAGGCCACAGCCAGGGCAGGCACCGTGAATGGGCACGAGCTGTTCGGATGGCGACAGCACCTGCTGCATGGGCTGAGTTGCAGCAGCAGCAGCAGGCTGGTGCTGGCGGCGGTGGTGGTGTTGTCGTTGGCTAGCGGTGGGCCGTCTCTGGGATGCTCCGGTGTGCCGTTGACTTGACGCCGCAACGCTTGCACCGCCAGCAGCCGTGCGGCTCTGAGACAGGCACAAGCGCTGTCGCAGTGGCACCACCCGTGCCTGCGATTGCGATGACATCACCGGCAGCTGCGATGATGTAATGGTGATGTCATCGTCGCTGTCGTCCCCATCATGGCCGGTGGCGGGTGACCAGCGTGTGGCAAGGCAGGTCAGGTGATACGTGGTGATGCACGGGTGATGATAGCATTGACACCATAGTGTGTCCGACTGCATGGGACAAAGAGAGAGAGAGAGAGAGAGAGAGAGAGAGAGAGAGAGAGAGAGAGAGAGAGAGAGAGAGAGAGAGAGAGAGAGAGAGAGAGAGAGAGAGAGAGAGAGAGAGAGAGAGAGAGAGAGAGAGAGAGAGAGAGAGTAAGTAAGTTACATTTATAAAGACAGGTAAGTCTAACAAATGAGGACTGAGACCTCTACAACAGGGTTTTTACGCCTGAAAGCAGGTGCATGATTTAACAAGCAGGTTGTCAGTCTAGATTTTATGCGCAGATGGAGAAAAATGCGCAGAACTTTTGTAATGAGATGAAAAGCAGAAATAATAAGAAAAGATGAAATGAAAGCCTGCTCACAACCCCGCCCAGCCTTGCGAACTGGGTATGGTGGATTAAGAACCCGGTTCAACGCTCGAGCAAGCGCTCTCCACTCAAGGTGTTCACAGCAACTGATAGGAACTCATATGGGGAAATTATAGAAAAGAAATAATAAGATAAAGAGAATAAATTTCAACGCACCTCAATAAACGGAGCCCCACATACAGTACCTCAGAAAAGTGGATCTTCCGACCAGTGTTTTTGTTGACGTCGCAACCAGATGATGTAGCTGCTTCGCAGAGACGTCTTACTGCACAAATTACAAATAAATTTTATTCTTCGATTAGAACCCACCCAAGCGCTTTCAGAGCCCTCCGAAGAGTCCGGGATGAAACCACGCACACCTACCTCAACCGAAAAAGAAACGACCTGCCACCCGTTTGCTCGGCATTGATCGGCCAGATCCGTATACCGCCTGTCCTTCCGCGAGTTACTGACACTGAATCTGTCCTCAGCACAAACTGTCAACTCCATCCAGAATACAATCCTACGACTCGTAGAGTAAGAACTATATCTGGTCTTAGGGTGGTAAGTGCAACACAGCTAGGGAAAGAAATCTTTGCACTAACTGAGTCAACAAGAAGTTTCCAGTTTGAGGCCGCTGACAGGAGATCAGTCGTAACCAACTTTCGTCGAGAGAGAGAGAGAGAGAGAGAGAGAGAGAGAGAGAGAGAGAGAGAGAGAGAGAGAGAGAGAGAGAGAGAGAGAGAGAGGGAGAAGAGAGAGGAAGAGAGAGAGAGAGAGAGAGAGAGAGAGAGAGAGAGAGAGGGAAAGAGAGGGAGAGTGTGTGTGTGTGTGTAGCTTTAGCAGGCGTGGTGTCACTGCTGTTGCCGCAGCTCTACACAAGGAAAAAAAAGATCGTGCGGAAATTGCCTCTGCTCTCGGCTCGCAATCGCTCTGTGTGGTGGTGTTGGGAGGCACAAATTCGGCCTGTCATGGATCATGACAAAACGCATGCTTTTTCGGAGCAGCTTTTGCAAGATTAAGTTCCTCTAGGCAGAAGCAAGATGACGCAAATGCATGTGCGCACCCACACACACACCCACACATCCACCCCCCCCCCCCCCCCACACACACACGTATGCACACACACACACACGCACACATCTAATCCGAGACCAGGAGGAGGAGCGCACATCCAGAGGAGATCTCACAAACTAACTTACTTACCGAGAGAGATTCGTCGCACACCGAGCAGACCGGCTGATCAATGGACTTGAGTCGCTGCACGGCTTCTAACACGCGCTGCTCACTGATGCTGTCATCCAGGGGATTGGCTATGGTGATGTCCAGTGGTCCGTGCGACAGGGGCATGTGTGATGGAGGTGTGGCATCGTCTGGAAAGTCAAGCTACGTGCAATTTGAACGCATAACGTGCGTACGCACAAACCATAAGAACACGGCACAACCATGTACGAACAAACAGACAGGCGGACAGACATACAAACATGCACGCACACACACACCATATAAAATAGCGCGAAACTACACGTACTTCACAAACGACGTGTAGAAAGGCGACTCCAAAAGCATTTGAAGGGATCGCCGGCAAGCAGGGCCAACAGGCCAGCCCAGAAGACGCGTCTGAAACTTTCCTTTCATCTCCGGCCTGCGCACTACAGTTGTGCTTGGTGAAATGCCACCCAAAGTGCATACTTGGAGCCCTCAACTTGCACGGCCCTTGACACCCTGGAAATGGTAGGAATGTGACTGGATGTGCATATGTACAAGTACAGTGATGATATACCGTACTCACTTGATTAGAAGCCCCTCTCGAATAAAAGCCCCTCTTGAATAATAGCCCCCCCCCCCCCCCCCCCCTACAAGGACTGTTTGAAAAAATACAAGCCCCTCTCGAATAGAAGCCCGGACTACTATTCGCAAAGCATGGCGTGACCAGGTAGTGCCATGTATGAAGGTCAAGTGTGCAAAAAACACCCCGTGCATGTTCATATTGGTATATGTCCTGGTCGACTTAGTGTGTGCGAACTAACTCAGGGTCGAGTTGCTGTGAATATGAAAGTTTTAGACATTTGATTGGAATACTGGTATGGAATGAAACAATAAAAGCCCCTCTCGAATAGAAGCCCCTCTTGAATAGAAGCCCCTCTCGAATAGAAGCCCCCTCAAAATCGGTATTGAAAAAATAGAAGCCCCCGGCTTCTAATCGAGTGAGTACGGTAACCTAACACTGGTTAAAGGGGAAGTCCGGTGAAAAATATAAATTTCAGGGTCGGTAGAGTTTCGGCCGCTGAGTCGAATGGTGTTGGTCCCACGTGTCTCCGACAAAGCGTTCTCGAGATATTTCCGTTTGAAAAACTGAGTTTCGGGGGCTGCGCCATGACGTCATGCGGCCGCGCCACACCCTCTGCAACGTCATAGCGTGCAGCTAGGTCAAAAGGAGTGCGTGAAAGCAATAGTGTCAGTACTATTTCAAATGATTTGGCGACTGATATTAGGTGGTGCAAGCGACCCCGAAGACCTGTAACTCCTTGTGAGAGTGAGGATGCAGCCATGGCTGACCTTCATGAGTTTGGTCTGGGGCTGAGAACCTCGGTATTCAGCTGAAGAAATGGCCGCGCGGGCCGGTCAAGAGTGAGCGCTACTGAGTTTCCGACTGATGAAGAAGCAGCAGCTATTGCAGACGAGGCTGATGTAATTATCAGATCGCTGGAGAGCAGGGTCGCCAAAATGGAGAAGAGTGATGCGAGTGCTCTAAATGTTGTTCCATACCGATTAGATTCGCTTAGACTCCAGTAGCCTGCCACATGTTGATGTTTTGGTGCGAACTTGGAATATTTCGGACTACGGTACTCAATTGGAGAACAGTGCAGGCTCTTTGAACCACGGGCACGACTCTTCGCTCGCAACGCTATGGAATCTGAAAGTTCTAGGCCCGGGAGCTGTTCGCTGTTTTGTCACTTGTCACGGCTGTGCACTCATCGCTGTAGCATAAAATAATGAGGTGGGTGCGGAAAACTAAAATTTTCTTTCTCAAAGCACAACCAGCGGCACCGGCAAGGAGAAACGCACGTTCTCTGACTACATGACTGTACAATACGGCTGATACGAGTGTAGTACATGACAAGTCCGTGTGTTGACTAGTTTTCTGAGTCTTGTGTCAGTTGTGACATGAGACGAGTTTGTTGACTGCACTACAGCTACTAGTACAATGTACAGTAGTAGTAGATAACACACTGCACGCACTGCATGCACGCAGCGCAGAGCGCGTAGCTACCATGGTAGACGGGGTGACGGAAAAGTCCAACTCGGAAACGGCTAAAATACGGTATAACCTCCAAGTTTACCGAGCTGAAAATCACAGGGTACGTAGTGTTTGTAGCACTGAATCGAATAGTCTTGGTCCGAAGAAGCTGCGACAAACGGTTCCCCAATCGAACGCGCTCCGAATATGGCCATTTTTGTACACAACTAGATGGTGTGGCTACCTGGCTGCACGCTGTGACGTCATCACCTGGATCTGGGTGATGCGCGCTCAAATTCGCACATGTTCGATTGGGCGTATCTGACGAACCATAGGCCGCAGCCTCCTCGGACAAAGACCATTCGACTCAGCGACCCGAACTCTACGGACTGTGAAATTTAAATTTTTCACCGGACTTCCCCTTTAACAACCAGTATTAGATAAACCTTGTTATAGTTCACGCAATTGTTAGATTGACAGCATCAAACAAGGAGGAGGACACTGTGTTCGGAAACAGTGACCTTACTACAACCTTCCGCGGTTGGAAGAGCGAAGAAAACAAGACGACATCAGGAGTAGTCTCCTAACCCCCTAGCATAATGAGGGTCAGAACCGGGTGCGATACCCATATGGTTCAAATGGTCCGCAGGGACCGGGGCTCTGCCAACCGCGGAAGGTTGTAGTAAGGTCACTGTCGATTTGCGATTTTGGCTCGCACCCCCTCCCCCCAAACGAATGATACTCGTTTCAGGGACGACAAAAAAAACTTTTGCGACAACCCCTGATCGGAACTGGTCCAGGGCGTCAGCTTTGCACTCTCGGTCGGATTTCAGTGAGAACAACTGTACAAGTGCTTCTCACTAAACCAGCCAAAGGCAGTACAGTCAGACTTCGCTTAACCGGTCGTCGTTTATCCGGATCCCTCGCCATCCGGAAGATAGTCGCTGGTTACCGATTTATAGCATATGCCATGCACACATACAGTATGTGTGTTCGATTATCCGGTTCCCTCGCCTATGCGAAATTTTTTCTGGAAAACGGATGTGTGCGGTTATGCGAGGTCTGACTGTACTACACTTGTGCTCGGTGAAATTCGACCAAGAGTGCAAAACTGACGCCCTGGACCAGTTCCGATTACATCACTGTACTTGTACATGATTGTGCACATTCAGTCGCATTCGTACCACTTCCAGGGGGGGGGGGGGCAAGGGCCGCGCAAGTTGAGGGCGCCAAATATTATGCACAACAGCAGTAGCCCCCCCCCCCCCCCCCCACACACACACACTCACTCACCTTATAGTCAGGGTGGAGCCAGCGAACACGCAGCGGCAGTCGACACCACGGGCCCGTGTTGAGCAGGTGGCACACAATCGTCCAGCAGTGCTTCAGCGAGCGTCCTCTCGCCGGCAGCTTCTGAACGACGGTGTCCTGACGAAGGCGTAGCGATCGGCGAGGATTCTGCCACGCCCATTCAAACTACATGAGTGCAGCAAAGGAAAGAGAAGGACAAAATTAATGTAGAACGGAGAGGGACATATGGTTGCGAGTTAAGAGCAACTGTCCACCACTGTAACTAGGATACAGTCAACTTCGCTAACAACGACTGTGGATATGACAACAATTTGCTAGTAACGACTGCGGATATGACAACAATTTGCTAGTAACGACTGCGGATATGACAATTCGCAAATAACGACAGTATATTTCCATGCCCAGAGCAAAGTCTCATCTAACTGTAATACATATCATGAGACTTGGGGTAGAAGGGTGTAGCGTTGGCACGCTAGTAACTTACACAGCTGCAGCGTGAATCACTTTCAATGTATTGGTCACGCGTGTTACACCGCACCCGTACCCCGCACTTGCAACTCTGTACCGTGCTTGCAGATCCATGACATGCATAGTAACTAGTCTCACTGCGTTCAATGTTTCATATTGACCTTAGAAATACTAGTCTAGACCTTTTGCTGCACTTTCAACCGCCTCTTTTACGCCCATTGCCCACATCGCATTCAACTCCTTCTTCAGCATAGAACCAAATGACATTCCTTGTGCAGTGACACCTTCTACTGCCCACCCATCTACGTTTGACCTTTCTTCTTCTTCTTCTTCTTCTTCTTCTTCTTCTCTCTGCTGAGCTTTGCCGTGACCATTGCTGTTACAGCACTTAGGCTGCAACCACACTAGGTACAAAATCACGTACAAACGGCATTACAGTAGAAATCGTCATGCCGACGCGTGCGAAATGCAAAATGCGCTTTGTAGGTTTTCAGCAACTGGCGCACCCCTGTAGAAAGCCACGTTTGTCGTTTTCGCGCTCCTTCTCCTGTGTACAACTTTGCTTTTGTACCGGGTCATCGTACATAGCATCAGCACCATGTACCAGCATTGTTTTTGAATTAATAATTTATTTCCCGGTCTTTTCCAGCGCATGGCACACGCTTTGGTACGACAACGTCACGTGCTGGTCCCGTGAAAACGTCATCTATGCAGACCGAAAAGTGTAGTGTGGTTGCGTACCGACTTGCACTGAGATATGCATGAAAATTTGTACTGTGGTTTTTACGTAGTATGGTTGCGGCCTTATGCTGTCTGCCTATAAAAGCTGCTGTTCACAATTCTCTACACTTCAGTTAGAAAGTTCAGTTAGAAAGTTCAGTTAGAGATGCCAGTTAGAGTTAGAGTTAGAGCCAGAGTTAATGTTTACAATGTAGTCTTCAGTTTAGTCCAGTAATAATAAACAACAGTGTGTTCACTGAGACCCGTGTGCATTTGCCTCCGAGAGTGAGACTGCGGCCCGCTCCATAATTGGTGCCAGCGGTGGGATCCGCTACAAGGGCACTTCGCGAATAAGGACACTTTTCTGATGCTCCGCCGAGTGTCGTACTGACATTCTACAACTGACTGTCAATCAGCTCTAGCACGTCTGGGATGCTCTCCTATGTTAGTACTCTAACTTCGAACCTTCCAATTAGATGGAAAGCTGTTGGAGTGCGCATCCAAGACGCGCTAGAGTTGATTGGCTGTGCTAACTGCCAAGCCACGTACGTACCTGCAACGCGTACGTGTTGTTGGGAAAGCCAAACACGATCAGCACCATGTCCCTATTCGCACGTGCCAGCACGTACGCACACACAGTGACACACACACATGCAGACAATGACACATACACACACGCGCACGGACACACACACACACACACACACACACATACACACCATTTGGACCATTTGACGCCCATCGCCGGAGGTGATGATAGCGATGCTACAGCAGAAGCCATAGCAGCTTGTGCTGGGATTGCACCATTCAACAGCTTGCAAGGCTGAAGAATTGCCCGCCACTATTCAGCCCGGTCTATACCACACAGCTAAGTGGCTTTTCTGGCCAGTGAATCCCTACTTTTTGGTCTTTTTCATTTTTTTCATGCACACACAGGGGGCATAGGATCGGAGGGGTTCTGGAAGTGGTACGACCAAAGGTCGGTGCGGCCAAAGGCCGTGTTGGAGGGGGGGGGGGGGGGTCCGGGGGAGCTCCCAGCAGGAAAATTTTGTAAAAAAAGACACAAAATCCTGCGTTCTGGGACTGTGCATGCAGTGCAGTGCACTAGTGTGCAGTCGAGTACAGTACTCAGTACGACTGCAGATGCATGGCAGATCTACGAGTACCGGTACGAGTCTAGAAAAAGGTCAAAGTCTGATGCGCATACTAGTATCCATCGATGGATCCTGATTTTTTATTACGGGTTTGCACGTTCCGGACGGACCACACTTTTCGAAAAGTGGTACGGCCATGGTCGTACCGGGTGCTACGCCCCTGACACACACACATCACACCACATACTCCGACATGCACTGGCTGTTGGTAACCACCCAGGAGAATGAAAGAAAAGTCAGGAGGAGTCTGAGAAAGAGAAGGACGTGTGACCATAATCGTCAGGAATCGAACCCGCAACCTATCGATTGGAAATTGCTGCACATACTACTGCACCATATGGGACACACACACACACACACACACACACACACACACACACACACACACACACACACACATGCATGCACAGAGAACACACACACACACACACACACACACACACACACACACACACACACACACACACACACACACACACACACACACACACACACATACACACACCATGTACCATGTACCATGTACCATGTATACGCCCGTTCCAAGAGAAGCACGCAAATCTGCAAATGCACTGGATGTGCACCCACAGATTTTCTCTTATAGCAACGATAGCGAACAAGATCTGAATGAGACAGATCAAGACTTGCGCCAGATAACTGTCTAATCCACACAACTGCACACACACACACACACACACACACACACACACACACACACACACACACACACACACACACACACACACACACACACATACATGCACACACACATACACACACACACACACACACACACACATGCACACACACACACACACACACACACACACACACACACACACACACACACACACACACACACATGCAAACACACACACACACACACACACACATGCACACACACACACACACACACACACACACACATGCACACACACATACATGCACCGAGAACACACACACACACACACACACACACACACACACACACACACACATACATGCACACACACACAGACACACACGCACACACACACACACACACACACACACACACACACACACACACACACACAAACTGAATTCTGATACCGAAGTATCCACAATTGTACTACACTTGGTCCACATTTTACCTCCTTCCTTTGCAACTTCTTGCGCAGATTTCATGAGGCCAGATATTTCTGTTGCCTCCTCTACCTAAGTGTTTGCTATTGCATTCCCGATTGATTTACTTGAATTGATTCTTATACATTGTGGGCGACCTACCGCTTTCGTAATATGTGAGCCTGGGTCATGATTTGCACGCTCATCCTGCCCGTGCAAGAGGCTTACACTTATTGTTGTCTGCCGTGCATGGGTGGGCTTCTTAAATTTTGCCGTGAACACTCCTACAGTGTGTTTCAAAAACATAGACGCGTGATTTCAAAAAATCGTTAGGCCAGCATCTATATACAGGTGGAATCCTGATAATTCGAATATGGCTTAATTCGAACATACCGCTTAATTAGAAGTTTTTCCAGGACCGATTTCTATCAATACGATTCCCACATAAACATTTCTGATAATTCGAACCTCGAACTGGATATGTCCGGTTAATTAGAAGTCCCACAGATTCCACTTACTTCTGAAGTACATAGAAAACATGCGGGATTTGTGCTGATAATTCGAAGTTAGCAAACTGTAATTCGAAGTTCACTGTACACTGTGCTGGTCAGTTCAGTTTGCATGAGCAGGCTGTGCCGGTCAGTTCAGTATCCGTGAAATCTGTGTCCAAGGTCCATAGCGCAACTCTGCGTGACCATGAGAGCATTTTGACATACATATTGTGTTGTGGGTTCATGTTCGGATAATTATAAGTTTTTTACTGGCATTTTGAGGTTCGAATTATCAGGATTCCACCTGTAGAGGCGACGGTTCGATACCGGAACGGCTTGACAGCCAAATTTGTATAGACCCAAACCGATCATCAGCGTTGATTGTTCACTCGAAATATGTTTGTGGAAGGAAACTGGCATGTTGAAGTTTGCTCTGAGGCCAGAGTCAATCGAACTGAGCCACTCCTTTGTGTTGACCTATTGCCTCCAAGTTGCCCAATTTTTCGCTTCAAATCAGAGGTGGCTCCAAACCGGACATGTTTTAGAGTGCACGTCAAATTCACTCTGGGTCTGAAATTAGGTAATTGCTATTGCTCCACGACGGCCAGTACAGAGTAACAATAAGCCTTGTGTGTGCTTCCATTAGTTTTGATCAGTATGCGGTGCTTTATTGGCGAGAGGCAAGCCGCTGTTTACCTGCGACAAGAAGTTGATTTTTCGAAAGTCGTAAAACTCAAGTCGTGGGAAGCAACACGTCAAAAACTCAAATGCTTGGTATGGCGCTTCTGGTCATCGTAGAGCCATGGAATTTTGGCGCTGAGTAAAACACATCGTAGTCTCACTGTGACATACGTTTTCTAATCAAAAAACCAAGAGAGAAAGTGAATATTGAGACCGTTCCGGTTTGCAACCTATGTCCTATTTGAAACCGTCACCTCTACCACATAAAATTCGAGATCACTTTGTGCTTACAAATTTCGAAATTTGGCGTTTGTTACTTTAATGTGATCGCTTATAAATCTATATTGGGGGAGGGACCTGAGCAATATTCCGGGAAAATTCTCAAAAAAGCTCCAGGCAAATTAGAAATATTTCCAAAAAAAACAAACTATATTTTTGAAATGGACTGTAAGTCATCAGTAGTACTGCGGGCTGGTCGTGTACCGTCTGTACGTCTGGGGCTTTGCGACGCGATACACATAGTGCAAGTATAATGCAATTCTGCAACTGAACTACTAGTAGACATTGTCGTGAAAAGCCAGTGCTAGTACATGTACATGTAATTCGCTCACCACTCTCTTCCGCTGGTTCTTTTCGCCCCGCCATACTGGGACCCGGAGTTGTGTTGCTTTATTCGCCTGGTCGGGTTGACGGTGTAACCAATGTACGTCCTGCCCTTGCTGCGAGCAGAGGTCGCCACGAGAAGATAGCAGCCATGAAAGCTGGACTCTTTCGAACCTGGCGCCATTACACAATTTACGTGCACTGTGAGTAAAAAAAACTATCCACCACATAAAAGCTGCAGCGCTTGTAGTGTAGGTGACCCTTCGAAAATGACGTCACCAACAACAATGCATTAATTTTTCTGATTTTCTTCTCCAGTGTATGCATACGTCACCAACCACTCCAACAACTCCTGTTTGTTACTTCACACAGGGAATAGGTATTTTACAACTCCCTGCTTCTACACTACAGTCTTGGTAAAAATTGGTAAAAATAACTACAGTCCATTCAGAAAAAGATGGACTTCTAGCTTTTGGCCATAAATGGGTCAAACTTTGAGTTTTTTTAGAATTTTTTTCTGCAATCCCCTAAGGAATCCTCTTCCAATAATTATGTTTCTGAAGTCTATTTTGTCTAAAAAGCAAGCCATAACAAGAACAGGATATCGGCCAGGTTTTGTCCCAAAAGCATTGAATTGGGAAAAACCATCAAAATCCAGGCCGTTTGACCCCACCTGCAACAGTGCATTGCGGGGTTCGAACCCCAGTTCAGGTACCCTTTTTTTTTTTTTTTTTTTTTTTTTTTTTTTTTTTTTCAGCCAGCTACGAAGCCTCTTGTACGGGCAAAATTAATAAACCCATACAATCATGTCATGAAAATACAAAAGATGACCAAACTGATGATAAAGTAATAATTATTGTTTGCGTTCCGGCTCTCCGCATTCTCCACAGAAACACATGCCCATAATATCAAAAACGGGCAACGCCAGCTTCTGCAACAACAACCTCAGCAGAGACAGGATCAGCAGTGAGGTGAGCTGTGAATGTGCTGCGAGCCCCACGGAGGCACATGACGCTGGCACGCAATAATGCAAAGCTCAAGCGGCAGCGGAGGTTGGCCATCACGTTGCTGTAGGGCTCGGCGGTCTTCTCAGCTAGCAGACTAGCAATTCTCTTGTAGAATGCAGTGGCGCATCTGCTCATGCCCCCAGTGGTGGACAGGACGGCTGGGACGAAGGAGGCATGTTCGATATTGCGCACCCGCTGCTCATATGCCCTCTTCTTCTCCCGCTCATGTTTGACATACATGTAGCAAGCGGCAATCGAGTTGGAGCGATTCGAGGACGCATGTGGGTTGAACACCCGAACATCAACAAAGGTGCGCTCGAATCGCCCACCCCAAATGCCACTTGCTGCCACATCTAGCCGGGCTTGGTCATCGCATCGGTGTTGGCAGACCGGTACCGTAGCTGTTCCCCTGTCAGTGGTTGAAGGTGGGGCTCCACAGCAACTTGATGGGCGACTTGCTTCAATGTCCTGGCGGTTAGGTCCCGGATCTCATTATGCCGGAGGGTTGGGAAGCCCCCTAGGGAACATGACAGGGCATGGGACACGGAGAATTCCTTCCCGCATTGACAGGATGTCGGAAGTCGGGGAGGTAGCCAGTTGTCCCGCAGGCACACAGCGTCGCGAAACTCTCCTTTCGTGAGGTTGAAGCGGTGACAGCGAAGAGGTCTGCAGGTGAGCCAGCTGGAGGCGCCTTTTTCCGCAGGTACCCTTTTTGGACTTTTTTTCAAAGTTCAAATTTCGCTGCACTGCACTGTGTACAATGAAATCACGACAAATCGCCAAATACGGGAGCTCGCCAGAGCCAGGGCCCATCTTTTTATTTATTTTTTATTTTTTATTTTTTCTTGAAATGACCAAAAAGAAACAAAGAAAAATGATGGCACCTATGTACAGGGGATCCCGGGATGGCCCACGCGGTGCACGCCTGGTATAAAGTAAACGTAAAAGAGAAAAAAGAAAAAGAAGAAGGAAAAGAAAATTTTATGAATGGACTGTAAACGGTCTGTACTCGCACAAGTACAAACTACAACATAGTACAAGGGAGACGACCCGCTGATTATGATACACACACGAGCATGCAGCCTGTGAAGTGTGAGTGTGAACCAGGGAGTCGTCAAATTAGGGAGGTTCCGGAGTACGATTTATCGTGCCAAAATCCGTGGAGGCTCTACGGATTTTTATACGTCGTTTTCGAGCAGTGAAAAGTTCCGGGGTATGGAACTAATGTGTTTGCCGTCATTGCCTAGGTTACGATCGCAAACACGTCACATTCCCGCGCTATGCATTTTTATTTTGAAAATTTGTACCGAAATCAAAACTTCCCGCGAAAAATCGATGTTTCTCGTACCAAATTTGTACGCGAAAAATCTTTCTGCACCCGATGACGCAAAATCTCCATACGAAACATGGTTCGTATGAAAGCCAGTCCACACGGATTCTCCGTGCCGAAAAATCGTATGGAGCACGCCTGGAAAAAATCCGTAGCGCCCATACGGATTTTGGCACGGAAAATCGTACCCCGGAACCTCTCTAATAAGTATTTGACGACTCCCTGGTGTGAACAACTCGGATCCCGTCACCTCCGGACCTTGTGCCAATGGCCCCCCGCACACACACACACACACACACACACACACACACAGACAGACAGACACACAGCACATGCACAGAACCCCCCACCCCCACACACACACACAAACTCCAGAAAAGCAGAGCGGGAAGTTCCAAAACGGTACAAGACATTTGTCACAAACGAAGCAAAAGACGGTACAAGACATTTGTCACAAACGAAGCAAAAGACGCTGAGAAAGACACCGACAGGCCCACTCACAACAAGGGGCACAAGAGAAACAAGGCAGCGGGGGAGCAGCTGATCAAGATCAAGAGAAAGATGATCTCTGGCAAACAGGACAACAACAACAACAACAACAACAACAAAAGCCAGCACAGGGCCGCACCGGACACTTCACCATGGAAAGAATAATATAAGACGGACAGGATGCGCTACGGTGTTTGCCTGGGGGGCCCAGAGCATAGGACGAGGACGGGAAATGGAACGGAAACACCACAAGCGACCCATTGTTAAATAGCACAGCACAGCATGAACAACAAACAAATCGTATGTGCAGCGGTGAGAGGGGGACAGGCGACACACGAGCGAAAAATTAGATAGATAAGTAAACTCTTAAAATAGACAGGGAAGACAGCACGATATAGACGTCAAATTGATGATCTGAGCGTGTGCACAAACAAAACTCTTTCTCATTGCTGTACTGAACTGTCGTTGAGGTGTGTGAGAACGGAACAAAATTATTTTTGCTTGGAAGTCAGCCTCCTCGTATGTTCAGAGAAGACGAAGCAATACTGGGAGGGTGATTAAACAAAAAGAAGAAGAAGAAGAAGAAGAAGAAGAAGAAGGAAAGAGAGAAAGGCAACAGGCCAGTGAAATAATTGTTTTAACACAAGCAATGCTTTTGTTTGACATGAGCAATACGTTGTAAACCCGGACGTAGACCAACAGCGGTGAGTAAAAAAATCAGTGGGGAGAGGGGGGGGGGGGGTAAACCAAATGGCAACGCAACTCCAGGAGTGGGAAAATGGGGTGGGTGGGATCAGGGGAAGGGCGCAAAAGTCCAGATCAGTAAAGAACGACGGGGCCCGCAGGGGGCAGAGACAGGCGCTGATAGTTGCTGCCATGGACGTGTGGGTGAGCTGCTGGGGCAACGGAATACGGCCTACTTGTGGCTGCATAACGTGCTGCTGCTGCAATACGTCCAACACGAACTCCGACTCCAGCAGCCGGGCCAGCTCCAGCGACAAGCGAACGCACGAGCTTCGGCGAGCCAGCAACAACCGACAGAGAACATTATTGGGGCAGTCCGACTGCTGCGCTACCTGTCCCTGGACAAGCAACACGCCGAGAGGCCGTTCAGCGACAGACAAAATCCAGCACTTCACTCACACCAAGAGCGAGACGACGTTTCAACAAGTAGGAGACGGTGCACAGTGAGCGGAAACGGACACATGCCGGCTGTCGTCACGGAGGAGAGAAGACAGAAAGAAGACATAGAGAGTAGGCTAAGAGGCCAGCCATGATGAACAGCGGACAACAGAGGCTTTAGTATGGTGCCGATGAGCCGTAGCGACATCATCGATGGGTCGGAGATGATGTCATTAGGGGGTCGAGTGGGTGTAGGGGCGGGACGGGGGGCGGGACGGGGGGAGAGCGCTAGTCTAATGACCATGTGTGGTGCTGGCAAGGGGAGTAGGGATGCAACGAGGAACACCCACACTTGCAACGGCCAAGTCTCATCGCCAGGACAACACCGGACGTCACGCCACCGTGGGTCGGCGCACAGCAGCGACGGAGAGACGGGATCGACGCCACGGCAACACGCTATTACGTGGCAGCGTTGGCCGGTGTCAGGCTGGCCATCAGCTGATGATGATACTGCGGCGGCAGATTAAAACTGGTGTAGGTGGGCGTATGCGCGGATGGAACGCCCAGTGGTATATGCTACAACACAAACACGAGCACAAAAACGCAGTGCCGTGAGCAATCAAACAATTTCGCACGGGTAATACATACAGCATCAGAAACTACCACCAGGCTAACAATTCAAGTTAGTTGTCTCCATGCATTTGCCCCCCCCCCCCCCCCACACACACAAAGACCGTTTCACGATGCCTCACAAGACCTACGCTACAAGACAACACAACCCATACAAAACACGAGACAAGATCGCTACAGACACTGCTGATCTCGATGCAAAAAGGCTGGTAGAGACAGGACAAGGCAAAGCACGATTCTGCCAGTGAAGCTTCGACATTTCACTTTAATTTTGCCAGGCCACTCGACATTTTTGCTACCTTTCTGCTCCAAAGCGAGGCCAAATTTGTGTCAGGTGTGGGAAAAAGGACCGAAGCGGGTCACGTGTTGGCAAAAAGGAGCAAAAGTGTGAGTCATGTGCACCGTAAAAAGCGTAAACTCTCTCAAATTTCCACCCAACATACCGATGTGTTTGCTGTTTTTGCCAGCAAATTCTTTTTCAAAACTCTTCGTTATTTTGCCAGCAGAATTGCTAGCAAAACCGGGCTATGCCTAGACTGGCCACTCAGCTCTGCGCAACCCACTGCTCTCTTCAACGTCTTGCACTACACCAGACGGTCAGGCGATTGGTCGAGTTCTGACACACACACACGCACAGAGCGCATCACACGCGATACTCACCAGATTGGTGGGAAAGACGTACGGCATGTTGGGCGACATCTGCGTGGCTGCCGCAGCGATGTCGTGTGACACGCCGTACAGCGGCGGGCCCGACTGCACCGGCACCGACATCGACGTGAACTGGATGTCCATGGGACGCGTTGTCGCGGCGACCGTGGCTGCGGTTATGCCGCCGGGGCTGCTGCTGGACGCCGATGGCGAGCTAGCATTGCTAGCCGACGCTGACATGATGGCCTGCAGGCGGCTGCAGTCGTTCACACGGCTGCCACCGTGGTGGTCCGTGCTCTCGGCGTCGTGGTCGTCCGTCACGTTGATGTCGCCGTCCACGTCGCAGTGGTCGCCGCCAGCGCTGACGTTGCCGGTTCGCATGGCGCCGATCATCGTCGGCACGGCGACGATGCTCGCCGCCGACGTCACGGCCGCCGCGTGGCCCGCTGCCGTCGTGGCTAGCTGCTGCGGCTGCATCTGCGCGCCATTGAGGTGACCGGTTGCCTGTACCTACAACAACAACAAACACACACCGCCGTAGACAGATAACGTTAGGGCTAATCAAAAAATGCATGCTGTGTACTGTAAACCCCCTAATTTTGGCGACACATAAACCTCAGTGAATTTAGCGAATCAGTCAAATTCGCTAAAGTTGGGGGTTGCAAATCACCTTTTTTTTTATTTTTAGTGAACGGTACCATCACATACATGTATATGTGCATGTGCACTGCACACCTTTCTGTGTTACTGTGTAGTAACTCACTTACCTTTCGTCTGAGCTTTTTTTCCTTTCTTCACTAGTATACATGTGCAGTTACATTGAGCCATGGTGTTTTTTATTTTATTTTTGTGAATCCTTCCCGGAAGCAAATGCTGGTTTTTATGCATTCGTGTAATTACTCAGCGCTATTTGCAATAATAATAATAATAATACATGTACATACTATAGATCTATTCACTAGTGCTCCGTTTGCCCACATTACCCGAAAATACTGTCTACTCCGAGCGCTAAAATAAAAGGTCGCTAAAACGTCTACAATTCGAAATCGCTAAAATTAGGGGGTTTACAGTATCCCGAGACTGGTAAAGCAGAATGCAGGGTCTTCGAAACTAACTGATCATTCATAGTTGAATTTGTTTAGACAGTCAGGCCTCGCTTATCCGGTCCTCTTTTATCCGGATCCCTCGCCATCCGGAAGAAAATCGTTGGTTACCGATTTACAGCATTTGTCATGCATACATACAGTAGGCGTGTTCGATAATTCGGTTCCCTCGCCTATCCGGATGTTCTCGTGGAAAACGGACGTGTGCGGCTATGCGAGGTCTGACTGTATACCAAAGCAGGTTACAGCCATGCTACTTGATATACCAGGTATAGTATGTGACATGCAGCAGGGCATGTGTACTTTGTACTGGATAGTTATACTGTATTGCTGCACTACAGTCCATTTCAAAAAAATATAGACGCATATTAATTATTTCAAAAATAAAAAATCCAGCCAAATTTGTTTCAAATTTGGCTGGATTCTTTTCTCCGAATATTGCTCAGGTCCTTCCCCCAATTATTCTCATATAATGTTTTAACCCTTTGAGACCCATAGTACGGATATATCCGTACCAGTGTACAGTGCATACTTTTCAAAGCGCAACCTGGCGTAACTCGGCCGTCCCTTGACCAAATTGGACAATCGAAAGGGCTATCGACATTAGAATTGTCTCAGCTATCGGCTCGAAAAAACCCGAAAGCGATCCGAGTTCGGAGATACGAGACTCGAACTAAATTCGCTCAGCAGAGTCAACTCGAGCGCGTGCATTTTGAACTCGTTTTTAGGGATTTTCCCTGACTCGCGGCCCACGCAGCTGCAGATAGTTGACGTCATCGCAAAGGCATGTTTCTCAGCTCTCCAGTAAAAAAAATTGAGCGATCTGCGATGCAATTTGTTGAAATGGCAGAGAATCTGAGTTGGGCGCTCGCAATGCTGGCTTTGGAGCGCCGTATCGCGCTGCGGCGCTGGTTCTGTGGATCGAGTGATGTATTGCTGGCTATCGCTGTGTTCCTCTGGCCAAGAGCTTTCCAGAAAGCCCAAGATCACCAAAATCAGCCAAAGGACACCAAAGTTACGTCCAGATAAGTACCTGGGCTCGCGTATGCAGTGCATTTCTTGAAATAATTGTGGGCCCTAAAGGGTTAAGCAATAGGATAGCAAACACCCCATTTCGAAATGTTAATGCACAAAGTAATCACAGATTTTATGTGGTATAGATGCTAGCCTAACGTTTTTTCTTTCTTTCTGAAATTACGCACTGTAGGGGCCAAAGTGCGGGAGCGTACGTGCATGGCCTAGACGACGAGAGCAAGGCAACAACGGCAACAGTAGAAGACATAGGAACATGCAGTGGGGTGGTACAATTGCACTTTTAAAGAAGTCGCCGCCCCGACAGTATTGTGGGGTGCCGGAGAACGACCAGACTAGAATTTCACCAGGCACAGCGCACCAATGTATACAACGGTGACTCAACTGTGCATAGACCACAGTACAGTCAAATGCCTCTTATCCGACCGCCTCAGATACGGGTACGTCTCTCTACCGGGCACCTTAAGCGAGATTCTATGGCAAAATTGCTTCGATTCTGGGGGTTTCGAACTTTTTTTCTTATGTGCAAGTGCGTATTTGTCACTGTCAACCTGTACAATCCACACATTTTCACCAGTGGATTTTTTTATCCTGAACATGAGCAACACGTGCCAAAGAAAAACTTCAAAAACTGATATGATACATGGTAGTTGAGCTGTCCTGAGATACGGGCAGTGCCCGGTCCCAAGGCGCCCGGATAAGAGACGTTCGAGTGTACATGAAAATAAGAACGGTCTAGGCTACAAGGCAGACCCCCAGGTCTTCGGCGGCCGATAGTACTGTACAACACACAAAGAAAAGCGCTCTCTCTCCTTGTGTTTTTTCTCTGACAAGTGAAGCACACCACACACTCACCCCAAGTAATCGCAGCTGACTCATCAGCAGCTGGTTGTGCTCACGAAGCCGCTGGCCTCTTGATCCAATGTCCTTAGCTTCGTTTTCCAGCTCCTAGAAGAGAGAGAGAGAGAGAGAGAGAGAGAGAGAGAGAGAGAGAGAGAGAGAGAGAGAGAGAGAGAGAGAGAGAGAGAGAGATGGTACCCATGAAACGGTTGGTTGACAAAGGACAGGCAGAGTGAACGTAGAAGTATGACTTTATCGCAGGCGTAGACAGGTGAAACAAGTTATACGATCACTTCTCTGTGATACCAAAATGGGTACATGGGACAACTGGGCTTCAGAGAGCACAGTGAAACCTGTCTAAGACGACCGCTCAAGGCACCTTCAAAACGTGGTCTCTGTTACCAGGTGGTCTCCTTATCCAGGGTCATTTGACTGGAAATAGCATCCCGTGGTGCTGGTGTCAGTGGTCTTCTAGGACAGGCCGTCGCCTTGACATGTTTTACTGTATTTTCAAAGACCAGGTCTCACCGGTAGGTACGCATTGATAATCAAGCGCATTGCCGGCGAGTCGGCATAGCGTACAGAACATAGAACACACACTTATACTTGCTCACAGCCAACACTGAACACGCGGGTCTCCCCCGGGGAGAGAGATTCAAAGTAAATCTTGGAAAGATGGCTCAACTGGCTATTGAACCGCCCCACGGCCGACATCCCCTGAAATCGCCAAACACTGGGTGGACTTGGAAATGATCCCACTTATGGGCTCACCACACACACACACACGGAGTTACAACTCACCCTGATACGACTGGACGCGGCCTGCAGCAGGTTAAGCACTGACGACTTGGAGTAGTCGGTGTCATTCGTGGTCGAACAGTCAGTCAGCGTGCCGCGAAGGTCGGAAAAATTGCTGCGCATGTGATCACGCCTGTCACACAAATACAATGCCAATGGACACAAACACAAACATAGACTTGTAAGTGAGAAAGCGACTTGGAGACGTAAAGTTTTTATTACAATATACAGTGGTAGGAAACTAGAGGCCACGTGCCTCGTACTGCTCTTTTCCCTCCGAAACTCAACACTTGCAAGCCAGATACGAAAGAAAGAAAAAATCATCAGTCACAACACCGGGACTCGAACCAGGGACCTTGCTATTCGCGAGCAATGCTCTAACCAACTGAGCTAGCAATATACACTGGTCCCTTTATATTATAATCCGGCAGCAGTTGTGCTCCTGAAATTCTGCTGGATTTACTGCTGCAACGTGCATGAAGAGGACATTTTGGCTACTGAAAAGTGTGCTGGATCATAGAGGGTGCTGGTTCGATGGAGCTAGGAGCACATACCCCCAAGAGCGTGCAACTCCAGCTATAGGGTCTGCGACGGCAGTACTTCACATCACGTGACGAACTTGCACACAATATTTGCACCCTGTGCATGATGGATACAGGGTTGTACAATACGCAACACAGCTTTAGCCTCAACTCTCCTATGATCACATTTCACTGCTTGCCAGCGCAACCCTTTGAACCGTGTCACGAGATGTGAAGTTCCGCCGTCGCAGTACGGGATAGAGGTGGTGCAGACGCTTTTTAAAGAAAGCTCACCGTTGCTTTTCCTTCTTGTTGTGCGTCTCGCGGTTCTTCCTGTGGATAGAAATACGCACGCAAAGAACAAGCAGAAAATACATTCATTACAGCTCCGCCACTCTCGTGTAAAGACCACACAAGCCAGCGAGTGTGGAAGTCAGTGCACCGGCCCAGGACGGCGAAATTCGCCGTTCATGTAATTTTCCACGTCAACAGACGGTAAAAGCTGATGTTGTGAGTCGTACTGGCACGCAGTACTGACTGCAGCGGTGTAATGCGGCTACAGTAAGACCTCACTTATCCGGTTCTCTTTTATCCGGATCCCTCGCCAGCCGGAAGAAAATCGTCGGTTACCGATTTTACAGCATACGCCATGCATACATACAGTATGTGTGTTCGGCTATCCGGATATTTTCGTGGAAAACGGATGTGTGCGGATAAGGGAGGTCTGACTGTATAGTGAATCAGGAAAATGAGGCAAATGACAAAAAATAATCACGCTTTCCCCAAACTCAAGCGGATCGGCACAGTCTGGTCTACGTCCTCCTGTTCCCGTGCATACCTCCCAGGGGTTAGGTCATTGCGCCACCATTTGAAGCGTTTCCACGTGGACTGGCGTTGCACGCACCGATTCGACACGCAACACAATGCATGTGTGATGACGTCATTCTCAAAACTCTCAGGGCCAACGAGAGCAGAGGAAATGAAAAATTCACCAATCACGGGTGAAGCTGCATGCTTAGGGGCCGTCCATAATTATCGATCTTTTACACGAAGAGAACAAGTTTCGTATATGGGTGGGTGGGTCAAGAGGAGTTTTGTTGTGAAAAATATTGATATGAGAGACATCCAGGCATTCTTGCTGTCAAGTCAATCTATTTTTCGTTCAGGGGGGGGTGGGTGGGTGGGTGGGGGAGGGTCCTAACTAAACTTTTTCGTTTCGTGAAAATCATCGATAATGCCGGATAGCCCCTTGTACAGTATTTCAATGCCCGAGCACAAATCTGCCAAACTTGGGAGGAACGACATGTCTGAAAATCACGACTGGTGCGAAAAAATTGAAACCGAGAAGAAAAGAAAGGACGCAGGACGGAGGGCCATCCACAATCATGTATGGTTTTCAAACTTTGCTCATGGGTGGTGCGTCTGACCAGGTTTGTTTCCGAAGTATCGAAGTATCGGTGGCTGGAAGACTTGCTTGTGTATGCTTCAGGGGATGGATGTGTGCTTGTGTGCGAGTGGGCAGTAGTGAGTGGCCGTTACTAGCTCCTACTGCTGGCGAACATGCTGTGGTTGCGCAAGTAAAGGTTGACTGTGAATCATGTATGATTATTTCTCGTCGGTGAACCTGCTGTGCGTGGCTGGCAAATCTGCACTCTACAACAGAAGTGCGTTCGGGCAACGGGCCCTGGCACAACCTCTCCCTCCCCCCCCCCCCCCCCCCCCACACACACACACAGAGTGAAGCCTGAACTACAGTACAGGGTACAGAGTAGGCCGCTGTTTATACAGACAGAGTCGAGAAGCTGAGAAGTAGACACGTAGTACAGTACTAGTACATAATGTACGACACATCAAGTGGCAATCATGAATTTCGGCTGACATCAAAGCACACACACACACACACAGAGCATGTAAGTCTAGTACTATGGCCTGTGAAAGCGTGCACCATGCAGCGAGGGTGTAGTGCAGTTTCGATTTTCTGATTGACCAGATTGTCGTGTTGGGGAGCCACGTGGACTAGCTTCACGAAGCTTCACGAACAAGTAAGATCAACGACTTTCGGGAGCAAATGATGCCTGGGAAACACGCAAGGGACTGAGAGCAAGTCCAACTGGGACATTTTGCCAAAAGAATTAGTCCGCCGCCCACCGACGAATTGACAGCTTGAAAAGGGACACAATCATGTACACGACTTGGTTTTATCGAAAAAGACGTGTGGTGCAATCTCACGGCACAAACAGCAATCACAGCGACACATCAACAAAAGCTACAAGCAAGAAAGCCAGACTTGACCAGTCCAGTAAAAACTGGCACGACTTGGAAAGAGGACACATGGGCAGAACGCACGGTCGAGGTCGCAGATGTGATTTTCATTGTGGCGCGTGTTCGTTTGAAAAATCTGACAGCTAAGCGGGAAATGCACGTGTGACAAACTTCGTACCCAAAACGTTCAGGTTGCGCGCAACCCTGCCTCCACTCGGCCACAGTCTACAAACTCCAGGGCAGCTTCGGGGAAAGCCTCGACACCGAAGAGATGTCAACCAGCCAGCTCCAACTACACAGGCTAGGTGGGAGCTGAGCAAAACTCCCAGAGATCGCTTTCACAGATTGCCCGAATACGCACTAAAAATGTAGCTCAATACGATCAAGCACAGAAAATGGCAACGCACGTCAGGTTACACGAGGGTGCTCTAAATATGACAGTGGGCACAACGACAAAGCCAACAGCGAGATCACTCACGGTGGACGACTTCTCGGTTTGCTGGCCTGTCCATGACTGGTATTGACTGACGATGATGGACTCACAGGCAGCATCGACGTTGCTACGGCTGCAGAACAGAGCACAATCAAAATTTCTCCACACAGCTCCAAAACATTCTCACCACTGCATACAAGCAACGAGGAATGCATACGGCCGGCCGTACTCACCCTGAGTCTTGGCATCCGTTTGAGACAAGCTAAAGCCATGCAGGCAGCTGTCTGCGACCATGCACAAGGCCTTCATCGCCTCTCCAGGCCCAGTGGTGGCTGTTTGAGTGATGGACATGGCGCTTGTTCCAAGCCCAAATCAGAGAAAATCAAGCGCGAAAAGCAGGCGGCGTTTCTCTCTGCACTAAACAAGCTGAAAGCTGAAGGATCAGCTAGCCTTCTGGACCAGGGCAAGACAGAATCTAAAGCTGCAGCAAGAGATCCACCGGCAAGGAAACTAGGCTGAGGGAGACCAGCAGGACGACTTGCCTCACATCGATGTCACACACAAACTCAAAGCAAATTGCCTGCTGTTGATGTGTTGTAGAGCCAACATGCGAGCCACTGTCACTCTCCACGTGGCTCGTTGTACGTTTCGCGCTTGTCCTTTTGCATGCCCGCGGCATGCAGTGCCAAACGACAGTTTCAAACTGAACGTACTCCAGAACCGTCAGAAACCAAGGAAATCTCATTCAAAGTGACCCAGAGAATTCGGGTGAGCACCGCTAAACCATGTAAGTCTGCTCAGAATGCGCGATGGGAAGAGGTTTCAGAGAGCCTTTTCTGAAAGCACCCGGTTTACATCAAACAAGGCACGTGGCACGAGTGTCAAGTTTGAATCGAGACGGGATTTTCCAGGAGCGAGGCATATCTGCATGATACGGCCGCCGCGTACAGGAGGAGGGAATCGAAATGACTCCACTCATCTGAACCAGGCAGCAGTTGTAGTACGAGCTGCCCTATATGACGTCCGGGTGCACTTGGCAGAACACGGGCGATCAAATCCAGAACTGATGTGGTCTGGCATGGCCATGGCACACTTCAAACGAGCACGATGGAATGCGCTTTTGGCAGTTTGCCTCCACGTGTACGGTATGTAGTTCAGTAGTGGCAGGTCGACCTCTCCTGTGCAGCTGGGCCTGAGCTGAGTCTGTCGTGTGCATTTATTTTTGTTAGACAACACTGGTCCTGCCTTTTCCCCGACCGTCTCCTGTCAAGGGCAGGCTTCGGACGTGTCAGAATACAATCGCGCTGCCGACCGACGTGTCATGACGGTCGTTCTGCTGACTATACGGCGTGCCAGAGCCAGCACTAAAAGAAAGCTAAGGCATCATCTTGTACATGTAATCGAGTTATTCTTAGCTCTGACGAATAAAATAATAATTGCAGTAAAACCTGTAACTAGAGACCACCGTGACTAGCGACCAGCCTGGTACACTGTACTACAGACCACGTCGCCAGGCACGGACGGTCTCACATTCATTATGGTTGTTCGGTGAAAACCTCTAACCAGGGAGTCGTAAAATAAAGTATTTTACGACTCCCTGCCTCTAACTAAGGATCACCTGCCGCTAAAGACCGCTTTCTCCGGCCCCAAGGGGTGGTCTTTAGTTACAAGTTTTACTGTATCACCTCCCCCCCGCAGCCCGAGACCTGATTTCATTGTCATGTCATCCGGCATACCAAGTCCTGCAGCATGGAATAGACTACAAACCTCTAACTAAGGACCACCTGCCACTAAAGACCGCTTTCTCCGGCCCCAAAGGGTGGTCGTTAGTTACAGGTTTTACTGTACTCAATCTAATAATATACTTTTTTGGACATTGAAATCCGTTGAGAAGTCAAGAGGCAACGGCGGGGGGGGGGGGGGGGGGGGGGCTGGCCTTGCAGCCGAGAACACTGCTGGTCTATTGTTTTTCGATTTTGACAGCATGTTACAAGGCGAGGACGCGTAGTGCTCCTGACTACAACCATAACCCGGTTGGCAGAGTCCCGGTCTTGCGACCATTTGAACCGTATTGGGAAAACCCAAGTTCGGGTTCAATGGTCGCAAGACTGGGACTCTGCCAACCGAGTTATGGTTGTAGTCAGGATCACTACGCGTCCTCGCCTTGTAACATGCTGTCAAAATTGAAAAACATGTTACACTACCAAGCAAGGCTTCTGTGTATATACCATGGTCCATTGTTGTAGTGTTACAGTGCGTGTATGCGCAAAGCAAGTATAGCGCCGGCCAGGGTCAATCTACCGGATTTCAATGTCGACAACAGTAACAGTACCGGTATGGGTGTTTGACGACTCCCGGCCGTAGTTGTCGCGCCCTCCCCGGGGGCACCAGCCGCGCATTCCAACCGTTCCGGAGCAGGACCTACGCTCGCATGGCCGCTGTGATGTTCTACTGTGCTCCGCAATGAAATCCGATTATGGCGAGTCGCTCAAGTACGTGCCGGGCGTTGCGCAGCCCTAGACTGCGGAATGGTGCAGGGTGCCAACTTGACTCGTGCGATCGGATTTCATTTAGCCGCTGAGCACTGTACTAGGGAATGTACGGTTGCGCTCACTGAAATCCGACCCAAACAGTGCTAAGCTGGCGCCCGGGACCAGTTCCGATTACATCATTGACTCATCGTATGTGTACATGTGTACGTCCAGCCGCATTCGCCATTCCACTGCCAGGGCGTCAAGGGCCGTGGAAGTTGAGGGCGCCAGCTTTGCTCGTTGGGTCAGATGTCAGTGAGCGCAACCGTAGGACTACTGTGGACTGTGCAGAGGCTGTTTTAAGCCAATAGAGAGATTACCGTATTATCTTTAATATAAGCACAGTCTCCAATAATAGCGCGTCTCCAATAATAGAACACCTTGGGGCAGCATTCAAAAAATAAAGTGCTCAGTCTCCATTATAAGCACACTATATCGGTACCTGGTAAAATGCATGTACCGTATTATCTCTAAAATGCAGTACCGGCGAAAACCCCCCTGAAATGTGTGTGTCTGACATGAATTTGGCATGGCAACATGCCTCTGAAATGAGGTTGAAATAATAATGGAACAGTCTCCAATAAAGGAACGTCTCCATTAATAGCACGGGGTGGAGGTACATTGAAAAAATAAAGGACCGTGCTTATATTAGAGATAATACGGTAAGATGCACGTTATTTTTGACGTGACCCGAAAGCTCAACTCGCGTTATTTGGCTCGCACGTCGAAAAACAACGCGAGCAGGCAGGTACAGCTAAAGTGCGTACGGTACAACTGGCATGTCGTACAGCGCAGCCGGATGAATGCATACATGCTACATAAAAGGATACAATGACAAACAGTGAAATTTGAATGAAACTGTGTATGCACATACAGCTGTAGTGCAGTGGTACTCTGCTAAGCCGTACATATGGGCAGCGGGAAGTGTACGTGTATAGTACCTACACTCCGGGGTGCTTCTTCTAATCCCAGCATACATGCACAGTAAAACCTGTGACTAAAGACCACCCCTTGGGGCAGGAGAAAGCGGTCTTTAGTGGCAGGTGGTCCTCAGTTAGAGGTTTGCGCCGCACAACCATATTTATACGTATGAATGTTAGACCGTCCGTGCCTGGCGAAGTGGCCTGTAGTACCAGGCTGTCGCTAGTCACGGTGGTCTTTACTTACAGGTTTTACAGTGCCGTAAAGTACCGCCAGAGCGCCCCACCATCTCGTCCTTTCGTGGTCGTCTTGTGGAGGTGGTTTCCTGTCTGTAGGTCATACGATACGAACCCTGTACACACATTGCACGTTGTGCAGTCAATCCGTAGTACTCCATACCCAGTTTACCTTCGAGCGGAGGCGTGCTCGATTTAGCCCTCCCCATAAAAACATGCCGAGTGTGACCTTAGTACACAAAGGTTCTCACACCGTACAAACTTTGTAGCATTCTGCCATACGATTTTCTTCCCTTGGCTGTAAAATCAAGGTGGGGCGCTCTCGCGAGACGGGGCGCTCTGGGGGTACTTTACGGTACTTCAGTATGGATCAGTACTGCGTGTACACCCGTGCTCCAGACCACATCCATACTAAGCAGGAGTATGTACATACCAGGCGCGTGCGCCGGTGCCCTTGAAGGGGGGGGGGGGGGGGGTTCTGGGGGACCTTCTTCCGTAGGTATGTGCAATGTGATAAAAAAAAACCTCCCGCGGGAAAAAATTCAAAAAATGAAGCAAAATCCTGCATTTTGAGCGAAAAAGGGGGGGGGTTCCGGGCACCCAGGAACCCATACGGGGCACGCGCCTGCGTACTAAGTCGGTTCCACTGTACATGTGCACGTGTATAGACGATATCCCATGTCATTTGTGTTAGATGTGTGTACAACGAGTATGAACCCGTACCCTGGAGTGCCTTTTTCGATCTTTATTTAAAATTATTTTTCTCGTCAGCAATGTCACGGGAGCGATATGAACAAACGTGATTGATTGATTCCGACTCATTTCTGAGAGATACAGCAGATTGGATCCCAGGTAAATTTTGTCGGAATTGACCGATCACACTGCTACCGTGATCTTTCTGGCGTAGAAAATGACAATCGAAAAGTCACTCCGGGGTTCGCACCTCTTGTGCTCATCTGCATGGTGCAACGGCTTTGTCCATGCGTACCCGTAATGTGGCGTATTAAAGCCGGGCTTATTCCTGCAGAAGCCGATGTCAGGGCTAGGCTTCTATTCAAACCAGGTATTTCTTTGTGTGTCAACACTAAAACCAGGCTTATGCCGACAGTGTATCTTGAAAATCAGGCTTCTATTCAAAACAGGCTTCTATGTGAGATAGGCGTTAATACAAGACACTACGGTATGTACTATACTACATGCCAGCACACGAAGCACAAAAAGCCATAATAGTTTCGACCGTAGACCTTTCATACCATTACTGTTCAAGTGGAATACAATTGTAATTAACAAGGTAGCAAGCAAGTCCCTCCAACCGGCACTTTGGCGGTCAGAGCATTGACAAAATGGCACTTTTATTAAAGATAGCGCTAGTGGCGCCAACTACATATTTGGCGGTCATGTCCAAGAGAGTGCTCAATACCGAGAGGCAGAGCTGGTTTAAACAATAAGAGGACAAAGAAAGTGTTTTAACTCTGAGTTTCACGCACTAAGCGATCATCAGAAAACAATTTGGCGGTCAGAGCAATGACCAAGTAGCACTTTAATGGCGCCAACTACACAGTGCAACAGTGAGTATTACTAGTATCAAACATGCTCTGACCGCCAAAGTGCCGGTTATAAGGACTTGCTTGGTACCATTGTATTCGACTTGAAGAGTAATGGTACGAAAGGCCTAGTCGAAACTATAATTACCGGTATGGCTTCTGTGCTTCGTGTGCTGATTTGCTTTCCTCCAACCAATAATCTATACTTCGTATAACAATGATTGTTACCTGCCAAACTCGTGCAAACGTCCTGTTTTGGCACAAAAAGAATCCGTTGGACCTTGTAAAGCCTGTACTGCTCCTGGAGCAGTGTTGCGCGGGTCCGACTCCGACGAATCTGGATCCGGATTCAACCAATCGATCATTGCAGATCGAGTGGATCCTACGGATCGGGATCCGACCAGCCGATCACAGCCTAGGCCTAGGAAGTAGGTATTTTACTGCTCTCTGCCTAGGATTGTTGGAGTGGGAGGGGGCAGCCATTTGTACGGAGGATCTGGACCACATGTACACAGTCGCGTAATACGTTCCCAATGAAGTTGTTTGGAGTTCAGCAATCAGGACACTACCGTATATATGGAGGCCCACTCTCTATTGGCTCGGTATCCGAGTAGACATTTCGTACATTTGAGGGGGGAGGGGGATGACACAGTCACAGCATGCATGACACGACGCCCGGATGAAACGAGTAAATCATCAAAATTTCAAAAGTGTGTGCGAACCAACATGCCCCCTGGGAACCCGATTTTACCAGTATGGAGGTTCTGCGATCACATCATCAGTCCACATGCTTTGGCAAAGTTGCGGCCCAGCGATGCGCTACTCACGCGACTCGTGCCGTATACACGCACATAGCGCCCTATAAGCGTTTCTTCAGACTCACACTGTATACACGCACATAACGCCCTATAAGCGTTTCGCCAGACTCACATACGTAGCACCCATAAGTGGTTCCGCTGGCTCACCGCCATGACATGATCATTCGCACAACCTATCAGAAAATCAGGGTACAGTCAACTTCGCTAATAACGACTGCGGATAAAACGGCAATTCGTGAACAATGGCAGAACTTCCATGCCCAGAGCAAAGTCCCATCTAACTGTAATGCATATACAGTAATGTCTTGTACAAAAGCTGCGGCTTCTATGACTTTCTTGGTGAAATTTTGCAGCCTTCTATATGAGACAGGCTTCTATACAAGACAGGTATTTCTATGTATGTCAACACTAAAACCAGGCTTACGTGTGATTTGATGGGCCCAAAATTGCGGCTTCTATTCGAGGGCGGCTTCTATTCAAGTGCGGCTTTTATACAAGACTTCACGGTAATGAGACTTCGGGTATAAGGACACTTCGCGAATAAGGACACTTTTCTGATGCCTCGCCGATTGTCGTTATACGCAAAATTGACGGTACGTCCCAATGCTGCGTGTAGGTTTGTACACTCCTTCTGATATTGAATAATTGAAGTGGAGACAACACTACTTCAAAGTACTAACCCTAAGATGGCGTTGCGTTGAGCGGTGATGTCTGCAACGCGAGTCATTCAGTGCAACCCCAGTATAGTTTTTAAATTAATGTTCACATCGTGGATCAAGCGGACAATTATGCCAATTATATTTCGATAATGATGGATTGACGTGTTCTCGTTGTGTTCTGAGGTTTTTTCAGAACTTTGAAGCTCCACTGTTCTGAGGTGCTATAATAAATACTACATATGGGGCTAATAAACATAGAAGGAAGACTACATAAGGCAGAACAACAGAGACCAAAAAACTTTCTCTTTACTCCGAGTTTCAGACTAGCAATCAATTGGATAGGAGCAATGAAGTCATGAGCCTATGTAGCATCGGGATGATCCATAGTTGTAGTCTCCAGTCGCATCAAGCTGGGGGACGATTGGCCGAAACTGAGCCACCATGTTCCAGTGAGCGGACTAGCCATGCCCGCTCGGTTCGAGCAAGACGGGGGCGAGATGGACAGCACAGGTCTTAGGATGTGGCCGCATGGCTATGGAAAGTGGCCCATCCCATGTGCACTGTTCTGAAGTAATAGACCAGTTGACCACCAAAACAATACCAGAACTCTCTGTCTCTGTCTCTCTCTCTGTCTCTCTCTCTCTGACCAATTGAGGTCACTCATCCATCGAGCTAACAGAGTTGGGTTGTGTGGAGCTGACAGAGTTGGATTGCATAGAGCTGCGTAGCTTGTCCCGCGAATGGCGTGCTCGACTTACCCAGGCCTGCTCGCCGGACACAAACTTGCTGACCACCTGGTCTTTGGAGAGGCGTGAGAACGTCTTCTGCCAGTGCGGCTGCGACATTGGCGCAGTGACGGGCATGTGTAGCCGCAGCCGTTGCATCTGAAGCAAGAAGAAAATTTCACGGTTCGCTTGAGACTCAGTTTAATTAATAGACAGAGTTTTCAGCATGCGTAGGAGCGCCACCACCCTGCAAACATCCAAGGTACAGATGCGGCTCCTACAGTGGTGGGAGGCCGAAGCAAGAAACATGCACAGTAAAACCTGTAGCTAACGACCACCCATTGGGGCCAGAGAAGGCGGTCTTTAGTGGCAGGTGGTCCTTAGTTAGAGGTTTGCATCGCACAACCATTATAATGAATGTGAGACCGTCCGTGCCTGGCGAAGTGGTCTTTAGTACCAGGCTGGTCGCTAGTCACGGTGGTCTTTAGTTACAGGTCTTACTATACAGTAAAACCTGTGTTTGCTGGGCCCTGTACCAAGCAGAATCCTGAATTGACCGGACAAATTTTCATGCACAAAAAAAAGCGCTGCGGATCGAACGCGCATCCCTGGATCAAGCGGAATCCTGTCATATCAGGACAGATTCCGACTGGGCCAGGTTTTTACTGTGAAAGACTTTTCAATCTCTAGTTTTCTAAACGCACAAGTTGCCAATGGCAGTACATGTACACTGCAACCTGTCAAAGACGACCGCTCGAGGGACCTCAGTGTGGTCTATACTAGCAGGTGATCTCCTTATCCAGGGTCATTGGACTGGCAAAAAGCATGCCTTGGTCTTGGTTGTGGTGGTCCTCTGGGACAGGTGGCTGCTGTATCAGAATGGTCGCTTTATCAGGTTTTACTGTACGTCTGCTTATTGGAGCTTCACACATGCACACCCGCGTATGTATGCGTACACACACACACACACACACACACACACGTGCACACACACACACACACACACACACACATCTCGGCTCCGATTTGGCTTATGTGAGTCGGGGAGTCATAGGAGGGAGGCTTCGCTCCATGTAATTACGTATGAAAATAACATACGGTACGTATAGGAACTGCACATGATTTTCATACGCGAACATCCGCGCTGGTGGGGTTTGCTCTACGTGATTCCTCCACGATCATGCCTCGCATGCCTTGTTACGGTGGAGACACGTCGGCTGTATGCGCTCACCACGTGCTGTACTTTTGTATTTCGAGAGCTTAGTCGTGGATTAATCCGGAAGCCGCGGAAAATATTTCAGAAAGTCCTACGGAGGGACTGAACTTAGGAACGTGCTTTCCTACGGAAATCCGTAGAGAGATTTACTTATGAAAGTTGCCCTTGCTCCCCGGCGCGTACGACATACGGATTTTCATACCTTTTTTCTGTTCCACTTAATTTTTGTATTTGGTGCCTGGTCCCGCCGCTGATCTCGAGACCCATGGTCGGGGAGGTAGGCCCAATTTAAGCACGCTGCTCCGGTTTCCCGTTGTATTGTCATGTCTCCCCTTTGGTTCTGTCTTCCCATTCCGTTCTCTGCTGGACTGTGTACTTAAGGTGGCCCTCTGAGCTTTGGGGGTCAAAAAACCGACTTTCTTGGATTGCTCCCAAAGTGCAGTCAAATCCTTCCTATATCATCCAAGAACACACAAAAAAAATTTGAGGGCGATATTCAAAGCCAGAAGGGCAGTTCACCAGCCGTGCTCTGGTGCGCCTTGGCTCGCGCTACGAACAGAACTCAGTCAGGAAGAGGTCAGCTACCACCAAGCAAGCCAGGAAGAAGCGTAGAAGAGTCAAGAAGACAGGCCAGGATGTAGCCGAGGAGGTTGAAGGTGTCACATACGAAGCAGGAGGCTTCTAATGTGTGGAATTCTGGCGAGGAACCAAAACCAAAATTTTTATCAAATTTTGGTACCCAATTTTCTCTCTTTTTCAGCCATTGCCGGACCTTGTAACCAGGCTGTGGCTTCAGTTGTTGCTTCTACACCCCCAAAAGTATATATTTTCTGAATCCGTGGACCTTTGGCTAGGTGCTAAAACTCAATGTGGCCTGTTCTCAGGTAGTATAGCCTGTAAAGAGCATCTCCAACATGTGTCGTTCTTTTGCGCATTTGGACTATGGTTTTGTGTTTTCGATATTGGAAACCTTTTCTGAGGTTTTCCTTGTATATTGTTGTTTTAGCACCTCAAGTTGGATGTAAAGAATGTACTCCATGTGAAAAATGTCATGATAAAAACATTGGTATTTCTGAGTGCTGGTTAAGAGTTCTATATACGGCAATTTTCGTAAATTCACATCCACACCGACAGTGCTTGTGAAGAGGTCCATTTTTCCTGGTGAAGATCAGACTATGGGATCTCAGGAATTAGTGTTGAAAATTTGAACCAATTATATGCATTGTAACCAAAGTTACGCCGTTTTCCGGGCGGGGTGCCGTAAAGCTCAGAGGGCCACCTTAAGTATAAAAATAATAATTATTACGCAGAGCAAAACCTCCCTAGTATGAAGGGAGACGACACCTGCGACTGGACGCTATGGCTCCCGTGATGTCAGCTGTCAATTTGTCCATGTTCAAAAACGGAAAAAATGTAGAAAAAGCAGGCAGCACAAAGCCGACTGCCATTGCCCCAGGGGAGGCTCGAACTCCCGACCTTCGCATAACTCAGTTGCAGAGCTGCACTGCTTATAAGTACGACGCGCTAACCGACTACGCTACTGGGGCATACGCTCTGGGCATCAGCTCTACGATCCTATGTTCTCTATGTTTCTAGAGCACCTTCAGAATGAGCGCTGGACAGTTCCAGGGTTCTACGCCGGCAATACAATGACCGCCGCGATGGCCAACTGTGTACCAAAGAAGTCGAGGCCAAAGAGAAAGACACATTTTCTTGACGAACTCAGATGGTGAGCCAAGGAAAAAATTGAAACATGGAAACATGTGAACTTAGAAGTTGCGTGCTCCTCGTGTGCTCCGGATGGCAGTCGTGAGTCAGTGAAGTGTCAAGTTCGGCAGGAAGCATGTGTTCCTCGTTGGAACAACCAACTTCACGATGGAAAAAAGTGGTCATAACTTGTGCCCACATATTTCCATGTCAGCACACGAAGCACAGAAGCCATATACTTTTTTCGACTAGGCCTTTCATTCCATTACTCTTCAGGTCGAATACAATGGTGATTAACAAGGTAGTAAGCAAGTCCTTATAGCAGGCCTAGTCGAAAAAAGTATATGGCTTCTGTGCTTCGTGTGCTGATTTGCTTTCCTCCAACCAAAAATCTATTTTTCCATGTTGCTATACATGGCCGTGCTTAGATGATGAATGAGTGTGAGGTCAGCGTCAGCCGTCAGGTAACTACACGGTGCTAGTGTTCTACAGCCTGGCCAGCCTTACCAGGGGCGTCGGAAGGTATTTTAGTGTGGTACGGTCAGCCATCTGAAGTACAATTGACTCGTGGGGGAGTGGTGGCTGAGCCGAAAATTTTGGAATTTTAGATCCCAGATCAGTGTATTTTGTTGACTCACGGGTATCTGGGGCAAAAAGTGGTACGGTCAATACCGTAGTGACCGTACCGTGTGCGACGCCCCTGCTTACCATGCACATCTGATTGAGTTCGGACAGCTTGACCGGCTTTTCCATGACGCTGACCGTCTCGAGGAATGCCTGGCCGACGAAGGGATTGCGGAACGCCATGCTCTGGTGCTGGAAGACGCGGATCATGACTCCCACTCCGGACAGGCTGGCCAGCTTGGCAGGCATAGTGCTGGGAGCGCAGACACAGAGACACGCACAGAGACACACATACACACACACATATGCACACATGTTGTAGTACGTTATTTTGTGTACGTCGTGTGTACGTCATGTTGGTGCATGCGCGTGTTGCTGTGGTGTTAAAAGCAGTCTTCGTCTCGAGTCCGTCATGTCTGGTTGTGTTTCCGTCGTCCCTTTGTATAAGTGTGGAGATGACATGGGACTGGGAGCAAGTGGAGAAAGGCAGTTACAACACACACACCCATACACGCTCACACCGACAAGCAAGCAGGCACAAACATGTACACATACACATCTGTTGTCAGGTCACGAATACACACGGACGACGACACTGACTACACACGAGCTACGCGCCTGGACGCTCTCTTCACTCTGATAACTCACAAGGTGATGATCCTGTCCAGGATGGCGCTGGAGCCGTTGAACGGCAGCGTAGAGCGTTGCTGCGCATGCACGTCAATACCGTTGTTCTCAAAGAGCACCTCCGGTGATAGCGTGGCCGTGATGAAGAAACAGTCAGAGCGTGATGACGCGGCCGATGCCGCACTGGAAGACGCCAGGCCCAGGAGTTTGTCCATCCCTGAACACACAAGCATACACACGCACGCACACGTACATACACATACACACACACACACACGCATGCACACATACATGCACACACATGCAAACATACACACACATATACACGCACACACACATGCATGCACACACACACACACACACACACACACACACATACACACACACAAACAGACAGACAGACAGACAGACACATACAGGTCATCGCCAATAACAGGGAGGTGACGATGGCGGTAAACAGGTAAAGTTTTCGTTTTAAATGCACACAGCTACAGTTGCGCTAGGTGAAATCTGACCCAGAGTGCATATTTGGCGCCCTCAACTTGCACGGCCATTGACGCCCCGGAAGTGGCACGAATGCGGCTGGACGTACACTTGTACACATCCAATGATGTTATCGGAACATGTCCAGGGCGCCAGCTTAGCACTCTGGGTCCGATTCCACCGAGCGCAACTGTGGTTGTCCGGATATTCGGCATTAGGGACATATTGGAACATGGAGTGTGGAAGAAGACTCGTAGTATTGACGCAGCGCGTTCTATCACGGTCTGACGTGGATCACTGTTACTCACATGAAGCACTGGTGACGGCTTGTAGACCGGTCACGTTGCATACTAAACACATTTCGGGAAAACATGCAGTTGCACAGATACACACACACACACACATACACACACACACGCACACAAACACACACACACACACACACACAAACACACACACAAACCCATACACACATGCACACACACACACACACACACACACACACACACACACACACACACACGCACACACAGCATGTTGCATGAACACCAGCTGCACAAGAAGAACACAAGCTCTCAGCTACCCTAGATACGTTAGCCTTGTGAGCAGCTAGAAATTCATTTTCTTACAGTAGTCGCACTGGGGGATGCACCCAGTGTGCTGACAGTGCTCAATACCGCGGGGGCAGAGCATAATTTACAGTAATGGGAGGTATGCATCGAAGATGGCCGTCACCTTTTTGCGGGGCAAGTTGCTCCATTTTTGGCAGGTACACCCCATTCTAGTACATTTATGACCATGACCGTACAAAGTTCATGACCTGTTATGCAGAGTTGGTATCTAGGGGTGTACGGTTGTAGTGGACTTGCCCCACAAAACCGAACGGCGGGAAATGGATGCATACGTCCCATTGCATAATATACCTTAGAACGAGGTCTGTCTCGTTGTCCAGGAAACGACCAATCAGCGACATTTCCGCCAAGGGCCTTATCAGAGTTTAAAGCCCGCTCAATCGTTATTTTACTACTCTTGATGACGCGTCGAGGGCTTTGGATTAGTTTAAAGCCCGCTGAATATACTCTAAACTGGTGCGTACAACTCCCTGTATGCATAATAGTACGGTGCAGATAATGAACTC